CCCTCAGCCTTATATACAGCTACACAACACACCTACAACCTCGCGAATCATCCAGAAAACGCCACGAAGAATGTAATAGTTAATTCGAGAACCAGGTGACAACGTGTTTCTGTTTACGGATGTGACGAAACAACGCCAATGCGCAATCGCGAGTTTAAAAATAGCACAGTGGGCGGAGCTTATCGCGAGTCGGGCGCTTCTAGAATGTTCGTGATCTTGCTCGCAGTTGTCAGGCTCACTTCGTCATGTCGAAAAATAAATGTACTATATACGCATATTTTCTCTGGTGTCAGGTTTAGTAAAATGCGTTTGTAGGAAACTGAAGTCAGTAAAGGCAACAGTATTCAGGGACTACACAAGACTTATGCCGACCTCTTACAATAACATGCTGTGGTATAGTGATGTATGCAACATGTAAAAATATTACCAGACCATCGGGCTGGCAAGCTGTAAAATTTAGACCGTCCTTCTTAAATCTAGACCGTCTCGGGCGGTCGGACGGGCCTTATTTCATACACTGATAGTGTACACCTCTGCCATCTCCAGTCTGTACCATAGACGTGTATTTTCAGTAAATCCACATGTATTCAATATGTATTTATTTAAAGTCGTAACCAAAATACGTGTTTAACGTGAATATCCACGTTGTAGTGTTTGCATAGAAATGTACATGGATCGATTAACAATTTCAACAGTTTTTGTACTGTTTAAATTTTATTCGTCAGTAATCCCATTATGGCGTCAGAATTCTATACTCAGTAACTTAAAAATATTCTCAGTTAGTTTAGATGGGTACGGTGTCGTTCTGAATTTTATTCTCATTAACTCAAATATACAGGATATCTTACTTTCATATGAAAATTGCATTCTCTTTCAGATTATGAAATGAGTCATTTAACAACAATTGTAAAAGGTAAAGGTCGTATTTATCACGAGCGAACTTTCACTCCTAATCTAAATGTAAGATCCTTGTAGCTAATTTGAACTAATTAAATTTCAGCTTTCCCAAACGATCTGATTCAATGTGGCCCCAGGACGCGATCGTAAATCAGCTCCAATACCGTCCTAATACTTCGATAGTTTTGTGAAAGTAGGAACTGGTATTGTGTTCTATTTAACGACTTGAATCAACTTGCTATAACTGTGACTTTGCGCTTTCATAGTTCGCCGAGACAGTACCGTGTGCAGCTTTCATCAATTTCAAACCCACGAATGCTAATTACTGATATCAACCTTAGATCACTGAAACGCCGAAGACCCGGGGTCGAATCCCCACATGGGTACAATGTGTGAAGCCCATTTCTGGTGTCCCCCGCTGTGATGTTGCTGGAATATTGCTAAAAGCGGCGTCAAACCAAACTCAGTCAGTCAGATCACTGAGATGATGCCAATCTAGCACAAAGCCAGAAAGTTGCGTTTGTGAAGCGTCCGTCAACGCCAGGTCAAGGTGTGTTCACCTTCACATGTAGTCGTTGAGTGAGTGAGTGAGTCTGGCTTTACGCTGCTTTTAGCAATAATCCAGCAATATCACGGCGGGGACACCATAAAATAGGCTTCACACATTGTACCCATGTAGGAATCGAACCCAGGTCTTCATCGTGACGAGTGAACGCTTTAACCACTAGGCTACTCCACCGCCAAGTAGTCATTGAGAATAGAGCATCGGGTTTGCATGTTGTTCAACATTTTAAGCATGTTTTCTGTCAACAATTAGTGTAAACGTTCTAGCTTTAAGAAGAAAAAAGCAAGGGCGGCACAGATTTGAGTCCCATAATTAAATTTCCTTCATTTTGTATCTACTTAAAACCTACAAAACCAAAATACACCCTTCAGAAAAGTGAGCGAGTTCCGTTTTATGCCGCTTTTTAGCAGATTCCAGAAATATCACGGCGAGGGCACCAAAATTGGGCTTTACACATTAATTGTACCCATGTGGTGAATCGAACCCGGGCCATCGGCGTGGCGAGCGAACGTTTTAACCACACTGTGCTACCCCACTGCCCCTTTCAAAAAGAAAAAAAAAAACGCGTAGACTATAATGTGAATGTTGGTTTTGTTTATTCATAAAACATTCAATACACTAAACATATCATTTATGGAACGATATCAGTCACACGTTCGTTTACTGGATTAGTGCACAAACACAACCTCTTGGAACCTATGGAGCTTTGTAAAGCAATTTTGGTAAGATTTAATGAAATATTGTCATGGAAAAGAATTAAAGCAGAGTACACGTGCAAATATCAAATCAGATTAAATGCAACATGCACATAATTTAACAAAATATAGTTTTCAATGTAAACTTGTGCGTTTCTATAATTTTTAAGAGAGTGTATAATATAAATTGTATGCTCTCTCGAGGGTAATACGTCTGATGTACGCCTCTTTGTAGCAGTGTCACCCGAGCCGGTACGACTGGATTTTTAACATCAGTGAAACATATTCTGACAAGCATAAAACTGCTATAAAAAAATGATAATTTTGTTTAAGCTGAGTGTGCAAACCACTCAATGTATAACATATAGCTTAAATAAAGCAGTGAAAGTCAGTAAAATAAATCTGTACAAAGTGAACACAAAACAGCTGATCGAACGGTTTTCGAACTCCGGGCACGGCATGCGTCATATTATGACGTCATACGATTGTTAGCGCTTCAGCTTCTCGGCGGAGAGCTTGGCGGCTACCGTGGAAGCGGGTAATATTTTCCCCAGACACGGAAACTTGTTACACCCATTGATCAATGAAATTAAAGTATTTTACATGAAGGTAAGATCAATCATTAAACGCTCTAAACGCCAAAGAAACGTTATCCTCCTTCCTTAATTAATTTCTTAAAATCTACTCAAGTGAGGATGAAACTTTCTGCTGCATTGTGATGCGTGGACGTCCACTTCTTGGTCTGTCTACGGTGACCCCAATCTATAGCGCTGAATACGTCTTATAACCGTGATATACAGTGGCATCCGAGGGCGTTGGCAACAACATTGTATGTCGATCCCATCTGCACCATCCCAATGGCTCTTTCTCTCTCTTCAGCTGTTAATCGTGGCATATTTCTCGTACTTCTGCATACCATATCATGCATTCTAGGCCCTCTTTATACCCTATAGAATCATCATTCTACAATTGCGTGAAATTGATGCAAATATTACTGGAATATTGCTACGTTTTGGCGATTGATATTGCTATGTGTAAACAGAAAATAGAAAAATGTTACTTTGCAAGCACAATAATGTTAACAAAGAAAATAATTTTAGGTGTTCCTAAACACTTTTCAAGATATCAAAGGCACTTTGTACTTGTTTGCACAAATGCAAATCAGCAGAAATTGTTTTAAAGACTGAAATCATAGGAATGATTCTTTTACAACGTTACACACTCTACAACAGTTGTTTCTTGTTTTAACAGCTGACAAATGGTTACTGTAAATGGTTTATCTTTTTCTCAAAGCAGAATTTTATTTCAACCGTTCTTTAGACATCTAAATACTGTTATTGGTTTATTTCGGCATGGTCGAAAATAGGACAATTTAACTCTTCTGAAAAGATTATTTTCGCCTACAATCCGTTTGGCTCAAAAGCGGACCGATGAATTGCAATCTAACTCGAAAACTAATAAACATAAAATACTCAATGAAACGCTGATCATAATCAAAACATCATACCCACTCTGTGAGGTTTTTGTAGAATTTTGTCCTAAAATGAAAAAGTTGTTTAACAATCTATCATTAAAATATTGACACAGTTCACTATTTGTTATGCAGAAAGGGACAGCCAGGTGTTCGAGAACGGATGGAGACGGCATTAATGAATAAATAACTTTGTCTGTGAACGTGCTTCTCGAACACCTGGCTGCATTTGAGATTTTTTTCGTGATTTGCATAAAGCTGTGTTGTTAAGCTTTCTTGTAAAGTAATACCTTCTAACATATCATATCTAGTTTTTAAAGTAATTCATAAAGGTAGGAGGGTAACGTATCTTTTGTCTATTAGTGTACATGTGCTGTTACTGGTATTACAGACAAAACTGATCAGATGGTATATAAATGTATAACACATATAACATGCAGGGGAGTCTCAAACGTTTTGTGTGTTGGTAAGGTTATTATACTTCAGCGACATGGGCGATATCTGTTGGCATAACACGATAGAAGCCGTGTGTGTGTATGTGTGTGTGTGTGCGTGCGCGCGTGCGTCGAGCGTGAGTTTGTGTATACCTTTGATTCGATAATCAAGCGGTGTTTTAATCTTAAACGATTTTACCACAAGTACCGCTTGTATTAATGGTGTTTCACTGCACACAGACCTCTGTCACTGCCATCCATATGGTGGCGCGATGTGAAGGTCCTTCACAAAACACACATCCTGATGTGTATAAGTCTTTACGTCAGCCGAAATGCTTATGTCACATACTATTCAAAATAAAACCGGACATGGAAGTATCCATTATGACATTTTATTACTTTGTGAAACACGACACGTGTATCAGACATACAAATGCATGGTGAAATACATGGAACTAATAAAATGACAATTTAAAAATACAGATCATGAACTGTTAAAAAGAACAACAAAATGGATATACATGTCTAAAGTATTTAGAGACACTGTAACTGGATGATGTAAAGGGGTGTCAGTGAGTACACATTAGCCCAATACTGATCGGACAGTTGTTCACATGTGAACATATACGTTAAGACACAAAAATAAAACTATGTGAACAATCCTTGGCATCTAACAAGTATGATATTTTTTTTACCCAGATATCATCCTCCTTATACTGTTTTCATGGGAATTCTTATCCGACATTAAATATTTGTCCAGACGCATAATTCAACGAAGTAAGATATATCTGTCAGAAATACGACAGACTGACCTCAACACACTGAGTCCTGTGTATCGTCATGAACACAATCTCAAATCAGTTCATGGGAATTATTATCTGACATTAAATATTTATCAAGACGCATATTTTCACGAAAAAGAATATGTATCAGTCAAAATGTGTCAGACCACTTCAACACATGAGTCCTGTGTATCCGACACTAACTTCACAAATCTTAAATCACTCCCAAACAATTGGAACAGTTTGCTCTTCCTTTCCACTGATGGTCTGAGACAGGAATGGCGCCTGAATGGTCATCTCGCCCTCTGCATTCAGGACACTCGTCAACATGGACTGGTCCACTTTGTCTGGGAGACGAATGCGCCTTCGCAGTGTCTCAGTTTCGCTGTACCCGTCACACTTGCTCTCACGCTCGGCTTCCACGGTGACGTCACCATTACTTACAACTACCCGGATGTCTTCTGGTTTGTAGTTGGACAGATCGAACCGAATTTCGAAATCTTGTGATGATGAGGAGACGGGAAGATTCTCGTCGGCTTTGATCAGTATACTCTCGGCATCTTCATCTCCATCTGACATCAGTCGTTCTACTTCTTCGTCCTCGTCCGTATTTCGGTCTGTCGTCTGCTCTGGCAGAACACTGACAGCTGTCGTCTGCTCCTCCAGGCGAGCGATGTCACTGGGGTCATGTCTGAGAGACGGCTTCTCGTCATACTTCAACATTAGGCAGGTATCTTCCTCCTGTCCTTTCTCTTCCTCGACATCCATTTGCTTGTCAAAGGACCCGTCTGTCGTTTTGTTGTCATCTTCCGGGCGAGGTTCCTCTCTGTCTGGATCTGTGGTCGTCTGTTCAGTAGATGCTTCCTCCTTATCAGGACTCCCTTTGGACAAATCTTACATCTTCTCCTTCCTACAACAAGGAAGAGCAACGGCCAAACATAGTGGAAAACAGGTGTTTCATGAACTTCTTGAAGAGTTGTACTCTTGAACTTCCTTTTCTCCTTCCATTCCATCGTCGTCGTACTCCTCATCATCTGTGTCACTTGTCCTTTCTGGGTTAGATCTGGTTTCTTCTCTTTCTTGTTCAGCTTTCCATCTCCACCGTCTTGCCTCGTTTGTCCTCCATGTGTTTTGCAGACGCGGGGATCATCATCCTTCAACATATCGGCAGATAACTCCCGTTTTGTCAACACCAGGTGGTAGTGGAAGTCTTCTTGTGACCCGGAAGGAGTTGTTGGGGTCATCATGTCCTCCACACACAACTATGGTGTTATCTGTGACTTTCACTTTTATTTCATCTGCAGAAAAACCGCGGAAATCGAGGCTTGCAGTCATGTAGACCGGCTGCCGTTTCTGGGAAGGTGGCTCCCCCTTCTGTGTCCCTCGACGTGTGACACGGTGACAGTTTTCACTGTGACAGCTTTCTGACTGAGGGTTGTTGTGCGACATCACCATGAGAGGACGGAGAATGTCGTTCAGAAAGCCCATATTGGCCAACTGCTGCTGTTGATAACGCGGGTTTCTCTGGTAATAGCAGGGTCTTGAATATGCGGCATGCTCTCTGAAAATATCTTCGGGTACCACGTGGAACAACATGGTTGTAGGCGGTGTTTTACTCTCGACAAAGATGTAGGCAATCAATTCAATGTAAATGTCCCAGTTACGTTGTATGCGCTAGCCGCTCTCGATGCTTCGGGGATCTGTTGTCGGTCGTGTTGAGTCTTGAAGCTGAATGCTGGAATGACAGTCAGCTCAATCCCTCAGCCTTATATACAGCTACACAACACACCTACAACCTCGCGAATCATCCAGAAAACGCCACGAGAATGTAATAGCTAATTCGAGAACAAGGTGACAACGTGTTTCTGTTTACGGATGTGACGAAACAAAGCCAGTGCGCATTCGCGAGACTAAAAATAGCACAGAGGGCGGAGCTTATCGCGAGAAAAACCGCTTCTGGTATGTTCGCGATCTCGCTGGCTGTCGACAGACCCACTTGTCATATCAGTCAGTGTTATAGTATTAACATACCTACGACATACGTATATTTCCCCTGGTGTCAGTTTTAGTAAACTGGGGTTTTGGAGAAGATATTGGAGGCACTGAAATCACCAAAGGAAACAATATTGTGAGACTTTTAATTATACTTCAGTGGATCCGCTACAATAAGGTGTGGCACACAGGGTGCTCCGACGTCGTTTAAAATATTCTTGTCACATACATGTATACAATAAGATGGGTTTGTTTTATATAAAACTAGTTCTAGCCTTAATTTTCATCGGGAATATTCACCTATTCCAATTTCATAATACACATATTTGTTTGTTTGTGGGTTGTTTTACACCGCATTCAGCAATTTTCAAGCGGCGATCTGTAAAATAATTGAATTTGTGCCAGACAATACAGTGATCAACAGCATGAGCATGCATCGATCTACGCAACGGGGATACAGTGACATGTGTCAACCAAGTCGACAGCGAGTCTGACCGCTCGATCCCGTTAGTCGCCTCATGCGACAAGCATGAGTTACTGAATCCCACATGGGTACAATGTGTTACTGAAGACCTACCTGAATCTTCACGGGTAAGAATACACATATAGATCTATAGGACTGTACACTGGTTCACGGTTTGGATGAGCACTGTTTGTATTTCTTAACGTTATACTGAGCCAGGTCGCAGTGAATATCTATGATACAATCAGTGGTAAATCAAAATTAAAGTGTTCCCTGTCAGTCGAGGTGCAGTTGGGTGGCCTTGTGGTTACGTCAGGCCAAAAAGACACGGTTCAATTCCCCACCTGGGTACAGTTTGTGAGCCCATTTCTGGTGTCATACGTAGAGGTAATACTGGAATATTGGTAAAAGCGACATAAACTAAACTCAATCATTCCCGGTCTGTCGAAAGAGCCTTCGTTGTCTATATATTTGACGGAACACAGTATTGCAGTCTGAAGCTTTCCATTTCTTGCTTTGAGTCTGTTATGATTCAACCAGTTATTCCTCTGGTTGTACCCATATGTTAGAAATGCTACAGGCTTTACCTGCCCCCTTGCTCGTGATACTCAAATGACCTATATGTCAAATGTCAAGCTATTTCATAATAACAAACATGAGTAGCAGTAGACGCTCCTATACTACAGCGAACGCCCGGATAGTGGGATTTCCGGGCTGTCGGGGTTCCCAATGGACAGTCTGCATTGCCCGAGGCACGCCACGATAAGATGAATGCTGTGTAAGACCAGAATGGAGATGTTTTGTGGGGTTTACTCATCCTTGAGGCCTCGATTATCCAGCCTTTCTACACAAGTATGACAAATTCCCTCCGAAATCACCCTGAAACACGTTCGGGCGTGGCACAGGGGTTCGAATCACTGTTTGGACAATAATTTTACAAGAAGAAGTGCATTTTATGTAATGAGTGTAGAGGGAGAATTTTGTAAAAAATCCATTTCTTCACCGATTTCGTTCAAATTTGAAATATAAGTTACTCATAACATATAAAAACAATATACGGTTGCAAAAATCTATGTTTTTATTTTTAAAATTATTGTCCAAACAGTGAGTCGAACCCCTGTGGAGTGAGGGATGCAAACTTGTGGTGTTTATGTTCCCCTTAATACCCAGGACATGATCATAGGTGGATCCCCTAGCCTTGTGGTTAAAGCGTTTGCTCGTCAGCTGAAGACCTGGTTCGATTCTCCACATAGGTTCAGTGTGTGAGGCCCATTTCTGGTGTCCCCTGCAGTGATATTGCTGGAATATTGCTACAAGTGGCATCAAAAACTTACTCACTCACTCAAACATGAAGCTGCCGCTCTTGCCATAACACAAATAGTGTTCAGTGCTGCTTTAAGCCAAGTTCACTTTCTCTGGCATCTTGATTTTGTGGGGCGGTGGAGTAGCCTAGTGGTTAAGGCGTTCGCTCGTCACAATGGTGTTTCACTGCACACAGACCTCAGTCACTGCCATCCATATGGTGGAGCGATGTAAAGGTCCTTCACAAAACACACATCCTGATGTGTATAAGTCTTTACGTCAGCCGAAATGCTTATGTCACATACTATTCAAAATAAAACCGGACATGGAAGTATCCATTATGACATTTTATTACTTTGTGAAACACGACACGTGTATCAGACATACAAATGCATGGTGAAATACATGGAACTAATAAAAATGACAATTTAAAAAATACAGATCATGAACTGTTAAAAAAGAACAACAAAATGGATACGACTGTAACTGGATGATGTAAAGGGGGTGTCAGTGAGTACACATTAGCCCAATACTGATCGGACAGTTGTTCACATGTGAACATATACGTTGAGACAAAAATAAAACTACGTGAACAATCCTTGGCATCTAACAAGTATGATATTTTTTTTTACCCAGATATCATCCTCCTTATACTGTTTTCATGGGAATTCTTATCCGACATTAAATATTTATCAAGACGAATAATTCAACGAAGTAAGATATATCTGTCAGAAATAAGACAGACTGACCTCAACACACTGAGTCCTGTGTATCGTCATGAACACAATCTCAAATCAGTTCATGGGAAATATTATCTGACATTAAATATTTATCAAGACGCATATTTTCACGAAAAAGAATATGTATCAGTCAAAATGTGTCAGACCACTTCAACACATGAGTCCTGTGTATCCGACACTAACTTCACAAATCTTAAATCACTCCCAAACAATTGGAACAGTTTGCTCTTCCTTTCCACTGATGGTCTGAGACAGGAATGGCGCCTGAATGGTCATCTCGCCCTCTGCATTCAGGACACTCGTCAACATGGACTGGTCCACTTTGTCGGGGAGACGAATGCGCCTTTGCAGTGTCCGACAAATATGGGAACCCTGACCACCAGCTAGAGTAACTGCTCTTTATCAAAGGGAAACTACTCTAACCCTAGTCTATGAAACGTCACATTTGTGTAGAGGTCTCAGTTTCGCTGTACCCGCTGTACCCGTCACACTTGCTCTCACGTTCGGCTTCCACGGTGACGTCACCATTACTTACAACTACCCGGATGTCTTCTGGTTTGTAGTTGGACAGATCGAACCGAATTTCAAAGTCTTGTGATGATGAGGAGACGGGAAGATTCTTGTCGGCTTTGACCAGTATACTCTCGGCATCTTCATCTCCATCTGACATCAGTCGTACTACTTCTTCGTCCTCGTCCGTATTTCGGTCTGTCGTCTGCTCTGGCAGAACACTGACAGCTGTCGTCTGCTCCTCCAGGCGAGCGATGTCACTGGGGTCATGTCTGAGAGAGGGCTTCTCGTCATACTTCAACATTAGGCAGGTATCTTCCTCCTGTCCTTTCTCTTCCTCGACATCCATTTGCTTGTCAAAGGACCCGTCTGTCGTTTTGTTGTCATCTTCCGGGCGAGGTTCCTCTCTGTCTGGATCTGTGGTCGTCTGTTCAGTAGTTTCTTCCTCCTTATCAGGACTCCCATTGGACAAAACCTTCTTCTCCTTCCTCTCAACAACAGGAAGACCAAACATAGTGGAAAACAGGTGTTTCATGCCTTCTTGAAGAGCTGCTTGAACTTCCTTTTCTCCTTCCATTCCACCGTCGTCGTACTCATCATCATCTGTGTCACTTGTCCTGGCTGGGTCAGATCTGACCCTCTTCTCTTTGTGTTCAGCTTTCTTCTCGCCCTCTTCCCTCTCCTGTTTGTCCTCTACACTGTGTTTTGCAGACGCGGGGATCTCGAGGATAACCTCGCCGTCAACATATCGGCAGGTAACCCCCGTTTTGTCAACACCAGGTGGTAGTGGAAGTCTTCGTGTGACCCGGAAGGAGTTGCTGGGGCCATCATGTCGGCCACACACAACTATGGAGTTATCTGTGACTTTCACTTTTATTTCATCTGCAGAAAAACCGCGGAAATCGAGGCTTGCAGTCATGGATTCCGGCTGCCGTTTCTGGGAAGGACGCTCTCCCTTCTGTGTCCCTCGACGTGTGACACGCTGACAGTTTTCACCGTGACAGCTTTCTGACTGAGGGTTGTTGTGTGACATCACCATGAGAGGACGGAGAATGTCGTTCAGAAAGCCCATATTGGCCAACTGCTGCTGTTGACAACGCGGGTTTCTCTGGTAATAGCAGGGTCTTGAATATGAGGCACGCTCTCTGAAAATATCTTCGGGTACCACGTGGAACAACATGGTTGTTGATGGCGTTTTACTCTCGACAAAGATGTAGGCAATCAATTCAATGTAAATGTCCCACTTATGTTGTATGCGCTAGCCGCTCTCGATGCTTCGGCGATCTGTTGTCGGTCGTGTTGAGCGTTGAAGCTGAATGCTGGAATGACAATCAGTTCAATCCCTCCGCCTTATATACAGCTACACAACACACCTACAACCTCGCGAATCTTCCAGCAAACGCCACGAGAATGTAATAGCTAATTCGAGAACCAGGTGACAACGTGTTTCTGTTTACGGATGTGACGAAACAAAGCCAGTGCGCATTCGCGAGACTAAAAATAGCACAGAGGGCGGAGCTTATCACGAGAAAAGCCGCTTCTGGTATGTTCGCGATCTTGCTGGCTGTCGACAGACCCACTTCGTCATATTAGTCAGTTTTATAGTATTAACATACCTACGACATACGTATATTTCCCCTGGTGTCAGTTTTAGTAAACTGGGGTTTTGGAGAAGATATTGGAGGCACTGAAATCACCAAAGGAAACAATATTGTGAGACTTTTAATTATATTAAATACTTCAGTGGATCCGCTACAATAAGGTGTCGTCGTTTAAAATATTCTTGTCACATACATGTATACAATAAGATGGGTTTGTTTTATATAAAACTAGTTCTAGTCTTAATTTTCATCGGGAATATTCACCTATTCTCAATTTCATAATACACATATTTGTTTGATTGTGTGTTGTTTTACACCGCATTCAGCAATATTCAAGCGGCGGTCTGTAAAATAATCGAATCTGTACCAGACAATACAGTGATCAACAGCATGAGCATGCATCGATCTACGCAACGGGGATACAGTGACATGTGTCAACCAAGTCGACAGCGAGTCTGACCACTCGATCCCGTTAGTCGCCTCATGCGACAATCATGAGTTGCTGAAGACCTATCTGAATCTTCACGGGTAGGAATACACACACACATATACGTGTATATATATAGGACTGTACACTGGTTCACGGCTTGGATGCGCACTGTTTGTATTTCTTAACGTTATACTGAGCCAGGTCGCAGTGAATATCTATGATACAATCAGTGGTAAATCAAAATTAAAGTGTTCCCTGTCAGTCGAGGTGCGGTTGGGTGGCCTTGTTGTTACATCAGGCCAAAAAGACTCGGTTCAACTCCCCACCTGGGTACAGTTTTGTGAGCCCATTTCTGGTGTCATTCGTAGAGGTAATACTGGAATATTGGTAAAAGCGGCATAAACTAAACTCAATCATTCCCGGTCTGTCGAAAGAGCCTTCTTTGTCTATATATTTGACGGAACACAGTATTGCAGTCTGAAGCTTTCCATTTCTTGCTTTGAGTCTCGTATGATGCTGTGTAAGAACAGAATGGAGATGTTTTGTGGGGCTTACTCATCCTTGAGGCCTCGATTATCCAGCCTATCTTCACAAGTATGACAAATTCCCTCCGAAATCACCCTGAAACACGTTTGGGCGTGGCACAGGGGTTCGAATCACTGTTTGGACAATAATTTTACAAGAAGTGTATTTTATGTAATGAGTGTAGAGGGAGAATTTTCTAAAAAATCCATTTCTTCACCGATTTCGTTCAAATTTGAAATATAAGTTACTCATAACATATAAAAACAATATACGGTTGCAAAAATCTATGTTTTTATTTTTAAAAATTATTGTCCAAACAGTGATTCGAACCCCTGTGGAATGAGGGATGCAAACTTGTGGTGTTTATGTTCCCCTTGATACCCAGGACATGATCATAGGTGGATCCCCTAGCCTTGTGGTTAAAGCGTTTGCTCGTCAGCTGAAGACCTGGTTCGATTCTCCACATCGGTTCAGTGTGTGAAGCCCATTTCTGGTGTCCCCTGCAGTGATATTGCTGGAATATTGCTACAAGTGGCATCAAAAACTTACTCACTCACTCAAACATGAAGCTGCCACTCTTGGCATAACAAAAATAGTGTTCAGTGCTGCATTAAGCCAAGTTCTCTTTCTCTGGCATCTTGATTTTGTGGGGCAGTGGAGTAACCTAGTGGTTAAGGCGTTCGCTCGTCACCGAAGACCCGGTTGATTCCTCACATGGGTAAAATGTGTGAAACCCATTTCTGGTGTTCCCCCCTGTGATATTGCTGGAATATTGCTAAAAGCAGCGTAAAACTATACTCACTCACTCTTGATTTTGTATTGATAAACACAGATATGTATCACCAGGGAGACAATAAGACGTTGTAGATTATCCCTGGTATCACTTGGCATGTATACATTCTTTCTTCCATGCTGTTTTCTGTACACAAAACAAATATGGTGATCTTGGTGCTTATGGAGATGCTTATAAAAGATTACTGACAGACTGCACAGAAATCAAATATATTGTCACACAGTGGATTGTTTGGTGGATGTCGTAAGTGTTTCATGAAAACACTATTGCTCCAAAGATGTATTCCGTGATGAAAATGACAAACAAGTTCAACCTGTTAGTTTGGTTGGATTTTATTCACATCGGATACATGCATACAATATTTTTAAAATGTCATAAATTTAGGACTACCAGATGATTTCAAACACTTTACAAAGACCCTTGACACTTTTGATGGAAGATGAATAATATCTACTATGTTTTGAAAAGTGTTCATTCAGCTCTAGTCAACATAGGCTGTGTGGTAGAGAACGAGTCCTCATAAAGGGAGATAACTACGAAAGAGGCTGAGGCTGAAGTTGCTCTCCTGTTTCTGGTGATACAAGAAGACCTTTCGATGCTCTGGAAGAGAACATATTATACTGTAACTACAAAACATTTAACAGCTGATTTAACATGCATCTAATTGGTTATATGTGATATTTGTTTCTTTCAAAGTTGACCCAAGAATGAAATATGGAAGTCTTCTAAACAAATCATATAAATGTCCTGTTTATCGGGTTCTGTCATTCAGAGAAAGATCATATGATACTTAAACTTTACTAGTTTCCTGATTCATGTCGCAATCATCGGAAGCTACATTATGGTGATATTTAAACATCTGTGTGGCAACAAAAGAGATTCTTATTATTCGCAATGTTAGGTTTTGAAAACATGCAAATACCCATGAGTTTGACCAATCAAATTTGGTGTGAAGAGCGAACAGGTACCAGGTCGAAAATGGTTTCAGTTTGTTTTGTTTTGTTTTTGTGTGTATGTTTACAGACTTAGAGTCACCTACTTCTCCATCTCCAGGGTTCTCTGCACCTTCCAATAATGTCTCTGTTCCTGAGTCTCGTTCAGTGCATACATGGCACCCCAAATAGCCGTCCCTCCCACAAGGCTGAAAGCAAACAGACAAAATAAACAGTTCTAACATGCTGAGTAGTTTGTAAAGAGTAGTTTGTAAAGAGTAGTTTGTCCATACTGATGTTAATGAGACCTGTCATTATCTCGAACGAATCTTACCCCATCACTGTTCCGAAAACACCTCCGGCAAACATTCCTTTAAGTCCCAGGTTGCACTTCAACAAAGCTGCTGTTATTCCTGAAACAAGAAAGATGGCTCATATAATTAAAAAGCTCTTACTGTAGTTCCTCAGTCCAAATGTTCAAGTGTAATTCTTTTTACAGAAAATTCTGACAGTAATTGCTGGTAGCCAAATTTCTAACACAAAACATTACCTTGCTACCTGGATGTTTTAACATCTGCAAACATCAGATGTTGAAAATTAATGGAATGCGAATTGAAAAATAACAAAATGCACATTGTCAAAACTGGACCAGATGGTCTATTAACTGTTAACTGTGAGCGATGATCCTTCATGTCACATATGGTCGGTGGACACTGCCACACAATCAGTGTGTGAAATAGTTTCCAAATTTTGCTAGCCCATTGGGCTAGCTATGCCTGAAAGTTACTAGCCCTCAAAATAATTCACTAGCCCAAAATTTGAATGTAGAAATTAAGCAAAAGATTACACAAAGGTAAGCTGCTAATATGAAGAACATTATTATCAGGCCATAATCTTGAATGATTTAAAAGAAGTCGGAGAGAGTGATATATTAAAAAAATGACCCCATAGAAATTCACTAGCCAGCAGGGCCAGTGACTCTGGAGACTTACTGGCCTGACTGGATTTTTACTAGCCACGGGCTAGCGGGCCAGTGGTTATTTCACACACTGCACACAATCAACTATTACCTTGTAGACTTGGGGAACATATTCCACACGCAATCCCCACAGGTGAAACAGCATTTGACAGGTGTAGAGAAGTGATAGTTCCTAAAAGTATCAGTGTCTGATATACAAAAACTTACCTAAACCTACTGAATATTCCAATGGGGATGACTTGTTGCGATATACAGCAATAGACTGTGATATACCTCTGAAACAAATTACAACATTAGGTCAGCAGCTTTATAAGCATGTCAAACAATACTTTTAATCATCATATGCGTCAGCTTTGTCACACCCATCCCCTCTCAACACCCCAACCCTGCTTCCACCACATTTTCTTCCACTGAATACAAATCTGGTAATTCAGATATAACAGCCATAGAAGACATTGTCAGCCATCTAACCCACTCAGCCACCGTGGCTTCAAGATTTCACACTTTATTTTTTTGTGGAAGATGCGCTGGCTGAGTAGGTTAGATGGCTCACTTTGTGTGATGGAGATTAGCTGCCTGACTGGGTGTGGGTTTGTATCCTGGAGTGAAGTCAACCCAACATTTTTACTTTACTGAGAAAGTGTAATCCCAAATAAAACATATGTTGCATCTGACCACTGTCTAAATGACATTGCACTTGTATCACTTGATAGCAGCAAAACTTGCCAGATTACAGACCAACTGGTATAACTTACAGCAAGGACACTGTGAATAGGGAGACTTTCACAGTCCACTTTGATCCATCCAACAAACTCCTCAAGAAGATAGAATCTTGAAGTGATCTCTGAAACAGATCCTTATATTGACATCCAATTGTACGTAATGCCATTACAAGTTTATATCAACTCTATATTGTAATGGGGGGGGGGGGGTAGCCTACTGACTGAAGACCTGGGTTCCATTCCTCGCCTGGGTACAATGTGTGAAGCCAGTTTCTGGTGTCCCCTGCTGTGATATTGTTACTTATTTGTAGCCCCCCCGTCACATAACAGTAATAATACCAAGTGAGACAGTCAACAGCAACATCACGCCAACATCAACATCAACATCACACCAGAAATGGGCTTCACATATTGTACCCATGTGGGGATTCGAACCCGGGTCTTCTGCGTGACGAGACAACGCTTTAACCACTAGGCTACCCCACCGCCCCCAGATTGAAAGAACCCCACACAAATATTACTAAACAGGATTCAAATAAATATCTACAGGATGGACATGATTTATCTGACTGGCAGTTGATTTCACACAAGACATTGATTTTAGAAAATTGCAAGATGCATTTCAGGAAAAGCTACAAGTTCTAAATGATATGGTAAGGGACAAGTACAAGACATTCACTCACAAACGCCCTGAACCGCGTTGAGAACACTGTCGCCTGGTGCTTCCTGATAAACTCCTCCCTGGCATGTCGACCACCAACAAACGATGTAATGAGGAAGGTGATCAACGCTGTTTGTGTTGTCACCTGCTTTATGAACTGCACCTCAGGACTCCAGCCACCTATATGACTGGAAACAGAAAATCAGACGTTTAGTGGGAGAGTGAGTGAGTACGGTTTTACACCACTTTTAGCAATATCGAGGCAGAGGACACCAGAAGGGGCTTCACACAGTGTACCCATGTAGGCAATCACAAGACGCCAATGTCGCAGGCATAAAAGTTTTCAGTCCCATGCTGGAATTCAAACCATGGACATTCTGATAGAAAAGTTAGACACCTTGTCCACAAGACCAAAGAGGTTAACCCCAGCAGCAAACTGACAAGGTAAGGGACCGTTCATAATTTATGGCAAAGGGGGGGGGTAATGATGTTTTTTATGCAGAAGCATGTACAATGTGAATGACCCCCCGATAAAATGTACGTACAAAGTAAGTGACAACCCCCCTACATACCATGTACAAAATCAATGCCCCCCCCTCCCTTTTCCCATAATTTTTTAAGCATAATTTTATGTACAAAATTGCTGACACCCCTAGTAAATGTGTACAAAACTGATGACCGTCCCTATCTCCCCAGAACAAAATGGGTGACCCCTCCTTAAACTCGTCATCATCCCCCCAAGCCATAAATTATGAACGGTCCCAAGGTGAGTGAGACTAGTTTTACGATGCACTCAGCAATATTCCAGCTATATGGCGGCAGTCTGTAAATAATAGAATCTGGATCAGACAATCCAAAAAATCAACAGCATGAGCATCGATCTATGCAATTGGGAACCAATGACATGTGTCAACCAAGTCAGCTAGCCTGACCACCCAACCCCGTTGATGGCCTCTTACGACAATCATGGGTGACTGAAGCCAATTCTAACCTGGATCTTCACAGGTGAGTGAACAGCAGGCATGTCCCCAGACACATAGTAGTGTACTGAGACACATTTTGCCCAAGTTGGACACCTATGTACCGACCATAACATTTAGAGTCCCATGCTGGAATTCAAACCATGGACCTTCTGATAAAAAAGTCAGACAACTTGTCCACAAGACCAAAGAGGTTAATCCCCAACAGTAAACTGACAAGGTAAGGATGTCATTTGTGTGATAACACCACTCCATGCAATTATGCAACACATGCTATCGATTTGCTGAAATATCATGGTGTCACAATACGAAAACAAAAATCATGCAAGATGCAACACACAGCTGCTATCAGTCCTCGCATCCCATTGGACAATTTCTGGGTGTGTCATCATGATCATCAATTTCATATTCATGACACGGAAAACTCTGACGGCAAATACACATCTCACTCTTTTGAAAACATCTTCATGAGTCGGTCTTTTCCTGTTTCTTTCATCATATATTCTTGTATTTCCATTTCAGAAACAAAGTTCACTGTTTGTATACTCTGTGTTGACACAGCCTGTTCCATCTTGTCTGTGGCAGTTGCCTTCTCAGCTGCATACACTGTTGGGAAACACAGAGTTTGCCATATTGACAGTCTCGGCACACGGTGACATCTGTCTACATTGTGGTGTGGACATCGTAAGACGAATCGCCGAAGACCCTTGCAAGACTCCATCATGTCATCTAGAACGTTATTACTCATCACCTGTGAGAAAACCAAGGCACAAGGATCATTAATCACTGTTGTTAATAAATTGAAAATTGAAATTACTCGGATCGAGTCATTTCAAGAAGTGATTTATAACTCTTCTCTCTATACATTCTGTGGGCATAGATCGCGGCCTGAGACAGACAGTGGACTTCCACGTGCATCTGTTGTCATACGCAAAAGCATAACTAGATCATAACTTAAGGAACCAAGTGTCAAAATCCTAACCCAAAATTTCAAGTTCAAGCCATGTTTATCAATGTCAAGTCACAGAGTTACCCCCCTTTTTGACATGTGCTTGGTTGTTTATAAAAGACGAATCATAACAATATTCCGTACAAACGGATTGCTCGACGTTACATACCCCTCTAATTTTACACGCTCGAACTGCAAAATATTTGTTTGCGCGAAATATTCAGCTTCATTTCACAATATCCAATTTTGTACCTGGCACCTACTAAAAGGATCGTTGTGTTTTGTGTCTTAAAAGTAACACCATGTAACAACAATGTTTTGAAGAGACTTTGTTAATAGGTGTTCGAATCCCAGGTAGGACTTCTATAGAATTATGAACATTATCATATTATGAGTGAGTGAGTATGGTTTTTACGCCGTTTTTAGCAATATTCCAGCAATATCACGGCGGGGGACACCACAAATGGGCTTCACACATGGTGCCCATGTGGGGAATCGAACCCGGGTCTTCGGCGTGACGAGCGAACGCTTCAACCACTAGGCTACCCCACCGCCCCATCATATTATGAAGATTATAACATATGTTATATTTGGGATTACACTTTTTTAGTAAAGTACAAATTCTAGTACTTTTGCTGGGTTGAGTCCCATGCGGGATTCGAACGGGTTCAGGCTAACACGTCACCAAGCCACCGCGACTTCCACAAAAATGGAAGGGGTACACAAAGTCCGCAGTCAAGACTACCAGTTGTCCGACTTCCATTTTTGTGGCTGAATATAATAGAAATCTTCTTTACACACTTACTGAGATGAAAACAAGAAGTATATTGAGTATGTTAGTCCGGTGATGATAATGTATTCATGTACGTCTAGTTTCTGTCATCCCAAGTGCAGTTTTCGCCGCTTGTGAATGGAAAATGTAGGCCCCACTGGGATGATATGTCTGGACTGAGGAGTTGCGGGGGAAAGCATTCGGAATTAACAAACTTACTCTGCAGTAGAAATGTGAGGTTGTTAATAGTCTTGAGGCAAAGCCTAGTGAAAAGAGCATCTGACCCGAGCGTGAAAGACGTTGAAAGGTGGTATTTATTGTTGCCTTTCCTAGCACTCGGCGCTGTTCTAGAGCAATTACCCGGGACCCGGGACTGGTTGTTGCTTGGGTTAGTTTTCTTTATCACAAAGACGAAACACATTTTGCGGCAATCAATAAAAACGATGACAACAGCACCGAGGTTGTCAAAGCCTAGAAATGGGGCGAACTGTTGAAGATTGCTGCTTTCATACGCCGCGTATTGAAGCCGTGATATTTCTGGAATATTGCTAAATGCGTCGTAAAACTAAACACACTCACTCACTCATACGCCGCGTGCATCCGGGAGTTTGGCTTTTGACATTTACCCCAACAAAAGCTGGTTTTATACTGTTACTAATCTGTTGTTCCATCTTTCTAATACACCTACTGGTAACAGATGGTACTTCAATGTGTGAAAAATATATGGCATATGATGAACTGGGAAATTCTAGTCCGTTATATTTCTGTTCCGCAATGTAGTATTTACATTACATTACCCACAATGCTAAAGTAGGCCGCCATTTTGGTGTTTGATGCATCTTGCGTACAAAGACGTCTGACCTGTCAGGTAATAATAGTATTTGTGGTCTGCGCCTAAGAACCATATACCTATCCTTATTCTTCACTTTGGTTCGTTGAAAAATCGACACCAAGTTTTGACGATGAAATTGCAAGATGTCATTTTCCACTGCACGCTCGAACACGATCTTGCATACAATTGAATGTCAGAATGACCGTCCACTGTCAGATTTTGCATTAAATTAAATCTATGGAATAACTGTATATTTTTTAATATACGTGTAAATGAAAAGCCATATTTATCTTGAATGCATCAAACAGTCCCCCGGATCCCACCGGCAGACCGTATGCACATCGAAATCACAGCGTTCTGCAGCGCCATAGCTGAGTTGTTACATTGGAGAGACCACCGTTGTTTACAGTGCATGGATATAAACGAAAGTCATGATTTTCCATCAGATTCAGCCAAATGAGTAGTCGAAAGCAGGTTTTGTTGCGTTGGATGTAGGTAGTTAACAGAAGTGCCAAGTATCATTGTACAAATTTCAATTGACATCTGTCAGCGTGAAGGAAAGAAATGGTCCTTGACTGGACAATGCTTGCAATGGCATTTTGTGTTCTTTGTATTTTGTTTCATCTCTGTGAGTGAGCTCCAAATGGGCAAGAATGCATTACACAAGACACCTGCAATTAAGCTCAAAATGTTGTGCAGTATGCTTCAATAGCAGTCAAAATGTCTGTCCTTTTTCCAGTTGCTATGGTCAATTTCCATAGCTCTTGGGCTGTTCATACTGGCATATTTCCTCCATTTTGACTCAGTGTTACTGTTAGTTTAGGGTTTTTATGGTAAGAATATTGGTAGCTACTTAACTTCAAAGAACAAAGTCCTTGATACTGTCATTTGGTTCAGAAGTAGCAAGTGGTGGGCAAGGTCTTTTGTCCATGAGGATTATAATATATGTTTGCACAGTTAGGAACAAGAAGGCTCTGATTTTTGTCATCACAGCCTTTTCTATGCACACAAATTTCGTCTGAATAGGCGGTGTACAAGTCTTCTGTTTCACCCCTTCATGGAAGGGAACATTACAGTGTCCCCCAATGATGACTCTGATCATCTGGCATCATCATAATATGTAGAAACTCTAGTGCATGATGAAGTCAGTTCCTGCTCTTAGTTTATGTTTCTAGGTAAAACCCTGCATTCACTAAACTATTACTCCTTTGAATATCAAGTGTTTTGTACATGGCAATTGGTGTTAGTTTATAAAAACCTTATGACGAAAACATAAAAAATACCATGATCTCACAAGAATGTGTAATGAATAGTATTTATTTTCCAGCAGACAAGATGGCAGACACTTATAACAGTTATCAACCAGACTACAGCTTTGACAATGGACATTATGACGATGGTCAAGGAGAAAGCCAGTCTCAGGTTGGAGATTTTGACAGTGGTGTAGACATGAGAGGAGTGGACTATGGTAGAGACACCAGAACAAGGGAGCTTGATTATAGTCGAGATAATGGCAGAGGCAGTGATTATGTTTATGATGGTGGTCGAGGGGGAGGTGATCGAGGTGGAGGCTATAGCAGAGACGGAATGAGGGGAGATATCACAGACAGCAACAGATTCAGTGAGGGTTATGATGAAAACAGAGGTTCCAGCAGAGACCGTGAAAGAGAAAGAGAGAGGTAAATTTATGAATAGTCATAGATGGTATGTGTCAGCTGATATATGAATATATTTTGGACTTTTTTATTTTAAAAAATCATTTCAGAGTGATGTCGAGCAGAAATACAGTTTCTGTTATGTAGGTGATATTTACTACACAAAAGAAATTATAGTACAATTCTTTCATATTAGTATAGTATTAAATCTGTTGTTAACTTCTTTTGAGCAGTGGACTAGCTATTTATCCGCTGAATAAAATATATTCCTTCTGTAGACACAACAAAAATGTTTCATGCAAAAAGAAGGAAATTCATTGACCTGTTTATCTTTAGATCAAGACGGGATAGAGATGGACGTCGTGAACGAAGGCATCCAAGAGATCGTGACCATGAAAGAAGTCGAGAACGCAGAGAACGACGTGAAAGAGACAGAAGCCCATCAAGTAGATATGATGACAGCTACAGCTTGGATGTAAATATTAATATTGTTTCTGATGCTCAGATGATAGGAAATAATTTCATACCAACTCAACAGATGTACCCAAATATTGCTTCAGTTACATGATGCTGCTTACTTGAACATGATCTTCCTTTTATCTTATCACATTGATAATATTTTGTTGAATTTTGTTTTTAAAATGTTTTTTTTTTTTCGCTTTTGTTTTTTCTGTTACTGTTGGTAAGTGCATTAAGTTGTTTTTTTCAGGGCAGTGAAGGAGATAGCCAGAGTTACCGTGACAGGGAACGTGATGCAAGGGACTTGCGAGAGGACCGTGGCGGAGAAAAATGGATGACAGACACTCCCACTAACACAGTGCTGCTACGTGGATTACCACCACAGGTTGATGAGAAAGACGTAAGTATCTGCTGTCTTCAGTCATATGTTGCCCCACTTTGTTCATTGAGTGTATGTGTGAAGTCCATTTCTGATGTCCCACACCGTGATGCTGCTGAAATATTGCTAAATGTGGCGTAAAACTAAATTCACTCTCTCATTGAGCGTGTTCATTTGTTTACAGTGTTCCTTGTGTTAGTCCTGTTTACTTGTGTGTCAGAAAGTACATTTAATACTTTTATTATTCAATTCAAACTATATTTGCCCATTTTTACAATTTTTGTTATGGAAGAAGTGTAAAATCACATGAAGACATAAATAGTGAAGTACATTTATTGCTTACACACAAGGAATTTCAAACCCTGGTTTTCTTATTCCAGATTCGAGCTGAGTTGATGATGTTTGGTGCCCCTGTTAAGGATGTGAGGCTAATGCGTAGAAGCACAGGTGAGAGCATGGTCTAAGATGACTAGTTTCTTTTCTTATACATGAAATGTGTGGGTGTTATGCTGGGGAAGGAATGGGTATGGTAGTGCGGGATTGTCGCATGACTCACTGGGGACTCTGAAGTTAACTTTGTGGTTGTTAAGAAGTCTGTCTTTTCACTATTACAATGTGTTCTGGAGTGGTACTGGAACTCTCTTTTCAGATGTTAAACTTGCTGTTGTATTGGTAATATGTATCATTTTACTGAGACTTGTAACATGTACATGTCACAGGGATGCCAACCGTTACCAGTTTCACATTATAGTTAGGATACCGATCCTAAAGTTACTCTATCACACTTTTTCTTCCCAAAATTACATTATTCGTTTTTCACTGATGTTTTCTTCATGTGTAGATATCTTTGAAGAGAAAATGCACTGGTAACATCATTGACATGACACATTCTTCAGTGAGACTGCTGACCATTGAGGGCAATGCTTTCAATTCACATTAGAATATCCATTATTCGTTGATACAGGGATACCTAATGGTTGTCACATTTAAACACACTCAAGTCTTTTCGTTGAACAAAATCACATGGGTATTAACAAGGTACTAATTGCATGTTCACCAATATTACTGTGGAACTCTACCCATGAAGTTCCACATTAGAATTGGTCTTCAGCAACCCATGTTTTTTGTAAGAGGCGACTAACAGGATCAGATGGTCAGGCTCGCTGTCTTGGTAGACTCATGTTATAGTATCCCAACTGCATATGCTGCTGATCACTGGTCCAGACTCGGATTATTTACAGACCGTTGCCATATAACTGGAATATCGCTGTGTGGCATTAAACAACAAACAAAAAACTTTGGAATTCTACATTGACTTTCTGAAAAACAACAGTTTTCCCAATGCTTAAGTATGGTTGGCATCTCTGCACTTTTGTCGGTTCCATTATTTAATTGACTGTGTATATCAATGTTATCAGATGTCATAAGCATGATAAGTATTTCAGTTCTCTGTTAGATAATATGTGATCGAGCTTATGGTCAGGTTACAATGCTGTAAACAAATCACATGGCCACTTTCGGTAAGTATTTCAGCAGGAAGTGCAGTTATGGATTTGCATATCTTCAGAGTATCCTCAGTGAGTATGAGTCGACACTGTTTGGGAAGGCATGTGAGACAAGGGTTGTTAGCTGGTGGTTTGTGCCGTCATCAACTTTTCTCCCTACACATTTAACTGACAAACGTTCTAAATACTTGCACAGGTGCCTCCCGTGGCTTTGCATTTGTGGAGTTTCAGAACGTAACAGACGCCCAACGTTGGATGGATCAGAAACAGGTTTAACCACATCTAAGACTTACCTCAGCGGTACAGTAGTTGAAAAAAAATCAGTTCCAGTGGACTTGATTTGACACAGAAATTGTTCATGCACACACTCACACACAACATGCTTGCAGGTTTGGTGGTTGTCAACTGCCTTGCTTGCAAGGAGCCATTTTCTAGGCTTGCTTCATTCCCTCATTGATTGGTAATCTAAGTCAAGATCAGTTTGAAATAAATCACGATCTATGGACACTTGCAAATTGCCCACTAATTCTCCCTTTACTACAGAAATGTTTGTTGTCATCTTTAATCTATGCTGTATCTGGACATTGCTATAATGTATTATGATATGAACTGTGTTGATTTGCGATTTAATGAAAAGGCGATTTATTTGTTGAATGTTAATCGAGGATTAGCTCTTGAAAGAAAACTGAGGCATTTGAAGAAAATCAACATGGATTTCTGTCTTTTTGATTTCTGTTTTCTTTCTTGAGCTGGTTGTTCCTGTGTATATCTCTTGTGATGACTTTATTGTACATGTGTCTTGTTTACAAACATACTGTCTTATGATTGTCACTTCAAATGAAATGCACTTCTAATGATGATGCATCCTGTTCTAATGACTTTAATGTTATTGATATTGTAAGTTGAACATGCTAGAATGATATTGTTGACATGTGGGTATAAGGAAGAACGCCAGTGGTATACTGGCTAGTGGCACTGCGTCAAGCAGACAGCGCATACTACAAGCAACAGGCTTGGTCAGGATGACAGGCAGACAATCTCATGGCTTCCTTTCATGGGCTGGGTGTATTATGTTCCACTACATGGACTATAACATTTGTTTCTTCCTTGCCAGGGGGCGCTGAACATGCTGAATCAGTATCACGTGAGCATGCACTACAGTACGTCACGAGTTGGCCCAGAGAAGTTTGTGCAGCATAAAACAGACTGGACCTGCAGCAAGGTGAGAGGACACAGCTGTGTTTATGTAATGGAAAACTCATGAAAATATGGAGTCCATCAATGTGAGCAATTTCTCCTCATAAATCATGTTATTGTTTACTTATAATTCCACTAAAATTGTGGGTTTGAATCCCAGTTCCCCCATGTTACTTCTAGGTTTGTCATACCAATGCTCATGGCCAAAGTTGTAATCATCTTGGACCTGAATCAATTTGGTTTTTGCATTAAGTTGGCATGCTGTGCTATAACTGGATTAATGCTCAAAGCAGCTTTCGAAATACAACTCACTCCCCAGCTCAGAATGACCAGCAAATGTTTGTCTCATGATAAACTGCAAGAGCAATAGCATATTGTCTTCATAATGGTTTAAGCCTGTTGATTCCTGAGCCAAAGATAATGTGGCCCCCAGTATGTCCTTCATATTTCAGCACCATAAAATTCACTCTCATTGTCGATTTTAACTCCACTGAAAGGCTAGACTCTGAATTTGGAATAGAGTCACTTGCTGCTCTAATGTGTATGATGTCTTGGTAAATAGTGTAAAGGTAAAGAGTAGAATGACATACACGGGTGATGGTCCTGTATTGATTGGCAGTCTCTGATAGTGATATGCCATGTACACAGATGAGCATTGTGACCTTGGAGTCTGTGATGTTACACTTTAATTGACTTTAACTTTCCAGTGTGGTGTTCATAACTTCAAGAGAAGAGATTACTGTTTCAAGTGCAATATTTCCAGAGATGGTAAGATTTTACTGAATTACGTTATCAGTATTTCAAGGCATTATGGGACGTCAACATATAACTAATCTCTAAAGATAACAATAAAGAAGTCAATGTCAGGGAATGCCTACAGATCCCTGAAATAAATTCACTGGAATGTGAAGACTATATCTGTTTATCTGTCTTGTTTCAGAATCTGACAAGACAAAAGACGGAGATGGCTTTGACCAAGTAGGAACTAATCCATGCAATAGTAAGTTATAACAACATTTACTACAAGTTACATTTTACATTCAATTTATGAGTATGCTATTTTGGGTCCAAGGCTGGGATTGTGCTTTCAACAATTAAGGGTAATTAAAATATTGGCAGCAACAATTCAGTTTCACACAGAAAAGAAGTTGCAGAAATAATGTGTATGTTTTGTCTAAAGTGTTTATACCATGGCATGTGAGAGATAGCAAGGGGCATAACTCAGGCTAGTATCTGACAAATATGGACAAACTTGGTCCCAATGTAGACAAGACATTCATTTGTATGTCTACATGTATTGTAAATGTAAGGATGAGTGAATTTGATAATGCTTTACTGAATGATTTTATTGAGCTGATGTAGTGTACAGATGCTAATCTGAAAATGTGTTTGTGGGATATTTTACTGTTTGAAGTGAACCAAGAATAAGATTGTAAAGATATTACGTAATATTTGCCCTATGCTCCAATGTAAGCGTTCACATGACTCTATATAATCATGTCCATGTTTTTCCACAGCTCTCATATTTCGAGGTCTTGATGCACTTACAACAGAAGAGTCCCTTGACGTAGCATTACGATTACAAACAAATCTCCAGTCTAAGAATGTGCGCATCATTCGAGACCCAGTCACAAACACATCCAGGGGCTACGGGTTCTGTGAGATGAATTCCATTCAGGAATCCACACAAGTTATAGATTTCTTGACTCAAAACAATGTTCCTTTGGAAGTAGATGGCAAACAAGTTCTCACATCGTATGCAAAGAACACTTTCTCCACTGTGTGAGTATATTGTGATAGAAATACAAGTGTGGTATGAAGAGTTACGTTCCTGATTGTTTGGTACAATATCCATGCTCAAAGCTGTAAACATTTACCTGTTTTCCCACATGAATTACTTTCTTCCCACACCAAGCTGATGCAGAGAAATAACTGAAAGACTGATCAGATACTGTTTTACCAAACTCATCTCACGCTCAGACTGTATTAGACATATCTCCAACAAACATTTTAAACTTGCCACTCAAGCACTCAAGCGGGGGATATAATATTAGGCTCCGTCCGTCCGTCGGTATGCGTATGAATTGGAATATCTTAAGAACCATTGACTGGATTCTTTTCATACTTGGTACCTAGGTTCATCACAGTATAAGAAAGGTCCCAGTCAGGTTTGGTGACCTTGACCTTCATTTCAAGGTCACCAGGGGACTTTAACATTTTACCCTTGTCAGCGAGATGCCCCAAGAACCGTCTCTGGATTTTCTTCATATTTGACACCAAGCTTCATATAGGGAAAGTCATATAGTCGAGTTTGGTGACATTCACGTAATTTTCAAGGTCACAGCGACACTTTGAAGATTTCAGTATGTGAAGGTTGTCAGCAAGATATCTCAAGAAGGGTTCACTGGATTTTCTTCGAAGATTTTCAAGACTTCTCTTGAGTGTTTTTTGATAAGCAATTTCTCTATTACTATTTTTTGCATATTTCATACACCATGACATTCATGTCAAGGTCAAAGTGAGTCTTGAAAATATTTGTGTGTTTGAAAAACAGTGACAGAGCAGTGCAAATATCGAGAGAGGTTGACTGGTCATGTTTTTGTTGACATTTAACTTCATCTTAAACTATGACCTGCACTTTCATTACTCTTTAAGTTTGATTTGATAATATGCTGCGGGGGATTATGTCACCTTAGTGACAACTGCTTGTTTGTAAGTGATTTTGCACTGAATAATATTATAAGCATTTATCTAGCCGAATGATTTTACGAAATCAAAAGAAAAAATACGCATGGAATCGACTTGTTTTTATTTATGTGAGATGCCATGTTGACAACAGCTGATCGATTGACCTCAATGCAGCGCACGTTACTAAAGGCTTGTCGATGCACGCTTTTCTCACTTCGCGTGGTCACCGAGGCGGGTTAATATGACTTTTGTACCCCCTCCTCGTCGCGGATCGTGACGGGTGTACATGGTATTTTATCAGTCACGTGTACCAATCAAAACTCGACATTCTTACATGAGGCTGGATAAATATATTTACGTATTTAGCAGAAAATCAGCTCAGTTTTTTTATGAGTGTCTGCGACATGATCTCTGAATATTTTGTGAAGGGCAAGTATGGAATCTTCCTTGCTACTTGTTTGTGTGTGTTGTTGATGTTGAGTTAATATTAGTGCTTTTTCTTTCAGAATGGCAACCTTAAACAGTACCCCTCAAAATCCAGTAAGTAGGAACTGAATTGCAAACTGAAGTTTCTGTTGCTTTTGATCTTCTGAAATGTGTTTTATAATGCTTTTCCGTTAGATAATCAGGTTTATTATTTGGAGCACTACCATCTCAATAATGTGCTGTCCATTAAACATCCAACTTTCCTGTATGTTGTAGGCATGGGACTTCAACAGTCAACAAGTAGCGGGAGCTGGACAACCAGGTAGCGAGTACTACAACCAGCTGTACCAGGCCGGAGTCACAACAACCACACCCCCCACAACTACAGTCCCGTCGTCAGGGGAACTTGATCAGACCTACTACGATCAGGCAACAGGACAGTACTATGATACTCAGAGCTATGAATACTCCCAGTATTACAGTCAGTTTGGACAGTCTGGCTCACAGTCACTGCAGAGTAAGTACTGGATTTTGAGAATCATGTTCAGAAATGTTTCAGCAGCATTGTATGATTGCTATTGATAAGACACCGAATGGTTCTTAGCTCTCTTGTGTGACTTTCTGAGTGTGGATTCATCCTAGTTCAGGGCAAAACTGTACTTTATTACACTATACATTTGGGTAAAGCAAACTATATTTCTTAATCAGCAATATCTGGATTACTATCCCATTGGGTAGTGGGGTAGCCTAGTGGTTAAAGTGTTTGCTCGTCACGCCGAAGACCCAAGTTCGATTCCCCATGTGTGAAGCCCATTTCTGGTGTCCCCCACCTTGATATTGCTGTAATATTGCTAAAAACGGTGTAAAACTAAAGTAACTCAATGACTCACTTCTATCACATTATCACTGTTTGTGAAATGGAACTTAGAGGCTTGAGATAATGGTAACAACCCCATTATTCACTGATACACAAATCTTTGCAAGTGTCTTGTATGCTATCATTTCAGATTAGTGAGAAGATGGCACAAGTTGACCTTTTCCATACTTTTATGTGATCAGGTTTTTTTCTCGCAGTACAGTTTCTGAGTAATATTGCTTTGTGTCTTGCGATGCAAATGATTGCTTATATTTTGTTCGTACTTCTCCAGCGGACTCTACAAATGCTGCAGCAGCAGTTGCCCAGGCTGCTATTGCTCAAGCCAATGCTGCCAAGAACTACAACAAACAGGTATTTGTCTAACATGGGAATAGCAGCCTGATGGGCTGCATTTTTCATGTTATGAGTCTATTAATAAAATATAAATATAAATTTTCCTTAATTGATGTAAATAGAATTGCTATACCACCTTTCCAATCCGCCCCCATCTCACAAGGACTTAATTTTTCATAGACGTAAAGTGAGGGTCTTGGTATAGCCATATATGGCCTGCTACCAACACATCACCTTTATGGACAAGCTTAGGCCTTATTTTGTTTTGTACACTGTTCAACACTTTGTTTGTATTGGATTTGGTTGGCTTTGTTGTTTCACGCCTCACTCAGCAATATTCCAGCTATATGGCGGCGGTCTGTCAGTCAGTCAGTCCCTGAGCCTTAACATAAACAAACATAGTGGGTACATCAACCCATGCGCCCCGAGGGACCAGTGAACCTTAATGTTAATTTTGAATTGTTTGAAACACGGGTACGAATCTTTTTGTAGCCATCGCTAGATTTTGCTGACAAGAAAAACATATTTAGAGTTATCTCCCTTCCATCGATTTGCATTCGCAAAACATCGGTAAATTCCGTACATCATACGTGATCCAATGTTATTCGAGATAAAGATTTACTACCACAAGTACAGAATGAGTTGCCATTGACAGCGGGTACATTGAAATGTACCTCGCTTGTAAGCGGGGTACATCTAAAATAATAGAAGAGCGCTCAGCCAATCAGAAAGCGACATTTATGTGTGAGGTAAGATAATTATTCTTGTTCGAATTTCTTCCAGACCCCAGGTCCTAAGAAAGCTGAGCCAGTAGTTGAACAGCCAGCCACCCCACCTGCTAGAAACAAGGAAGTCCTAGCATATCGTAAGAAATAATTCCTTGCATAACCATCTCTTGTGTACCCTAAACAATCCCTTGATCATATATTGACTTAAGGGTAGTTCAGTGGTGGTATAATCAAATTTGTGATTTTGGACTATATGAACTCCTTAGGAGCATAGTTTATAACTGCATATCAGCTGGCACATTTCTTTGTAGACAGGATTCATTTGCACTTTCACAAATGAGAAAAAAATTGGTTTGCAATGGTAGTCAGAATTAGAACTGTGGATGGCACGGATTGACATTTCTGAAGAATGTTGCACAAGTTCCATATATTCCCTGAATATCCCATTACAGCGGCTCCAGATGTGTCCACGTACCAGTTTGATAAGAGTTCAGGATACTATTACGATCCATCAACAGGCCTCTACTATGATGCCAGTTCACAGGTATTTATCCGATGTCATAAACAAATAATATTCCTAAGTGCTGGATCCTAATGCAGGATATGGAAAGGTTCTCTCTCTGTTTTTGAGGGAATTGAACCCAAATTTGATATGACTATTAATATTTAATAGAGTTGTTAAATAATGCAGGTTCTGTCTTTCATGGATTTGAACCCAAATTTGATATGACTTTCAATGTTTCATAGTGTTGTTGTCCCCCGCCGCAACGCGGAACGGGGGACTATGTATTCAGCGGCGTCCGTACGTACGTCCCGATTCTTGTTAACGCGATATCTCATGAACTGTTGTACCCAATGTCCTCGAATTTGGTGACAGCCTACATTGGGGGATTATGTAGACACCAGTTTATTTGGGTGACCTTGACCTTATCTTCAAGGTCACCACAACACTTTGACCGCTTTTAAGACTTATTTAAACGCGATATCTCATAAAACATTGCACCCATTGTTTTCAAGTGTGTTGACAGCCTACATTGGTAGATTATGCAGACACCAGTCATTTCAGGCATCTTGTATGTGACCCAAAAATATAAAGTAGTAAATATAGCTATTCCATTCTTTAGCGGCGGGGCACATTGCCATATCAGTGGCAAACACTTGTTTTAACATGTGTTTATCATGTTATTTGGAGGTTTTGAAACATGTTTCAGTTTGTGCCAAACACGTCATGATATGAGTCAATTATCCCTAAATTTATATCCTTTTTCAGAATGATTACACAATGCTTAGAAAGTGGTCAAATGTAGCGTATGTTATATTTGGGATTTCACTTTCTTAGTAAAGTACAAATTCTAGTACTTTTTGGGTCCCTTCCGGGATTCGAACCCAATCGCACTAATCGCCTAATCAGGTGTGGGTTCGAATCCCAGTGATCTCATCTGTAAAGGCATGGGTTTGGCTGACGTCAATCGACCTCAAAGAAGCATACCTTCATGTTCCAATACACCCTGACTTCAAGAAGTTCCTTTGGTCCTCCTTCAATGGGCAGTGCTATCAGTTTTGTGTGCTTCCCTTTGGCATCTCTACGGTGCCAAGGGTGTTCACCAAGTTGATGTTGATCCCATCGCAAGTCGCCAGATTGCAGGGCCCGTGATGCCAACTGTACCTTGACAACCCGACACTTGAGTTGAGATACCACACATTTAGAGATGGACATTGTCACAAAGCTGGGCTGGATCATCAATCTCAAGAAATAAGAACTCCCTCGGGCACAGGATCTGGTTTTCTTTGGAGCGAGATTTGAGACACAGCGGGGCATTGTCTCCTCTTGGGATCGCCTTGTCAAAGTCCACAGGACTACTCTGCTGTTCCTCAAATCCCCAATTTTTTCAGCATGGACATTGCGACGGTGGATGTAGTTTGGTGTGCGTGTACAATGATGAGACCTATGCAGCAGGCGGTGGCACAGCTGTGGTCCCACTCTTAGAGCTATGACAAGTTTGTCAAAAGGCCAGAGTGGTTAATCCCTCACCTGTGGTGACAGACATTGAGAACTTATCCAGGGGCTCCCCCTGGAGATCCCGATGCCAATGCTCTCGATCCAAATTGATGCATCCCTCATGGGCTGGGGCGGTGTTCTGGGCTACCTATTAGTCTCTGGACTTTGGTCAGAGAACAAGGTCAGCCTGCACATCAATGTGCTGAAATTGAGGTTGGTGTTTGAAAGCTTTGTGGGGCAGGTTCTAAGCCAGGTGGTGTGTCTAGAGATGGACAACCAGACAGTGATGACCTATATCCTGAAGCAAGGCGGTATGGTGTCTCTGTCCCCCAATTCTGTCTGATTACAGTCAGCATGAAAAGTGAGTTGCGAGGTTGAAGGTTAAAGAGTCTGTTTGTCATACCAAAGACTCTGGTTCAATTTCCCAGCAGTTAAAATGTTTGAAGCCAATTACTTGTGTCCTCTGCTGTGACATTGTATGAATATTGCATAAAACCTTACTCAGTTTAGTGCTTGGATAAATTGGGTCTGGGTTTGGTTTTTGGTTGTTACAGGCTACCAGTTTGTGACCCAAATGGAAATGTTCATTTCTTTTCGTAACTAATGGGATTGGTGGTCAGACTCGCCGACTTGGTTGACGCATGTCATCGTATCCCAATTGCACAGATTGATGCTCATGCTATTGATCATTGGATTGTCTGGTCCAGACTAACTAAGCTTGTTTACTCACTCACTCTTGTTTACAAAATTTGGGCAGAAAGACTCCAGTGTTTGGCACAATCTGCACGATTCAATTCCCTAAATGTTTTTCCTTGTTGTTAATGGTTGGTGACACACACTTTACGACATCTCTCCATTTCAGTACTTCTACAACCCTCAGACCCAGCAGTTCATGTACTGGGATGCTGAGAAGTCCACATATCTCCCTGCACCCACACAAAACGACCCCAATGGTGATAGTGGTGAAGACAAGAAAGATAAAAAGGACAAGAAGGAAAAGGTCAAAATAGCCAAAAAAATAGCTAAGGTATGCAAGCGTTTCCCTTTTTGTCGTGATTCAGGTCAGTGACAATTAATACTATGTAACCAATTCTTTCTTTTTTTTTCATCTACAGTTGTCTTAATAACTTTTTTTCTCGTTGACATGATTTCTCATATGACAGTTGAGAGATCACTATTATGTTGTAAGTGGGAGTCATAAATGTGTCAACATTAGGAACATACTGTTTTGAATTAGGCATTGATGTCCTGGTCATTTTGTCCTAATGTTGAAAGTCTCAGATTTAAGGGAACCCCAAATTCTATTACCATTGCAACAAAACCCCATTAATTTGAAAGAATGGCCATCAGCGTGCGGCAAGTAAATTTATGAGTCGGTATCGATTTGAAGTTTTTTTGTTTGTCTGTCCAGGACATGGAGAAATGGGCCAAGTCTCTGAATGCTCAGAAAGAGATGATGAAGGAGGGTACAAGGAAGATCACCATTAACACTGGTGGCATCGGAGGCTTCAGGAAGGAAGAGCGAGAGTCTGCCACAGCAGATGCAGGATTTGCCATCCTGGAGAAAGCTGTACGTTCTGAAAGATCCTGTATGCTTAAAATACTATGTTCAGTATCTTCAGCAACCCATGGTTGTCGTGAGAAGCAACTAAGTGATCAGATGGCAATCGTATCCCAATTGCATAGATTGATGCTCCTGCTGGTGATTGCTGGACTGTCTGGTACAGGCTCAGTTATTTACAAACTGCCGCATTAGCTGCAATATTGCTGAGAGCGGCATGAAACAAACAGTATTTAGTGATACAGGTGTATCATCTGAACTTTAGCACTTACCTTGGCGTTTTGACGTGTATGTATATACATGTGTAGCGTGTATGGAGAAATTATTCTGAAGTCAAGAGAAAATGTTTCAGCTATCAAAACATTTCAGTGCATGTAGCCATTGTCATTTTCATTTTGCTAATATTCCTTCCTCTTTGCAGAAGGGTGAGGACAAGAAGTTAATGCCACCACCACCTTTGGTAAGTCATCTGCTCAATCTTCTGTAGAATGTTTGTCTTTTTCAAGCAACATGTGCTCTCAATAGTCTTTATCTTTAAACTTTGATCTGTGTCATATGGCTTAATTTGAAGTCATAGTTCACTGGACAGAAACTGATGTTGCTGGCAGCAAATTTACCTGTTAGTTTCAACTCCTTACAACTATTTGTCTGAAGGAGAGCCCAGCAATTATTCAGGGTTTGTCTCATGGAAGTTCACAATCACTCATGTTTGAAATTCATCACGACCGAAGATGAGTATTTCAGTGAAACATTTATTCAAATGATACCAGTGTCTCCAAGACTGAGCCTTCCTCTGTACCGTGATTCTTTTTCCTTCCTCAGCTGGGTGGTGGTGTGAAGGTGCCTATACCTCCCCCCAGGGAGCAAGCCCGGGTTGGTGGCATCCTATGGTGGAGACAGTGAGGAGGAGGATGATGACAGTCAGGGTGCGGCAATGTCTTCCGGTCGTCTAGACGAGACCAAGTTGGTGGACTGGGGCAAGCTAGCCTGCCTGTTGTGCAAGAGACAGTTCCAGTCAAAGGAGATCCTGACAAAACACATGCAGTTCTCAGACTTACATAAGGTGGGAACTGGGAGCATCAGGAACATATTTTAGGAATCATCTTCATTGTCATGAATGAAAGAATATCAGATGTGTTTAGGATCATAATTTGGTTATATATGTACATGCATGTTTGTGTAGAATACATATTCAGTTGAAAATTCAGAATAAAATAAGTATATGGTATTTTATTAGGTTCACATTCTTTGGACAGTGAAGTTGTGTTGAGTTGCTCGTAGTTTTAAACAAATGAGTGGTAAGAGAACATATTCAATTCACGGGTTTGTCAGGATCAGATCACATCGTCATGATCATGAAGTCAAAATTATGTAGTTGAAGAGTTAAGCCTATTATGATATAGTACAAATGTCAAAGAACTAAAATATATACTAGATACCTACTTTTTGCAGCAAAATCTAGAATCTCTGCAAAGAAGCAAAGGAGGAAGTGAAGAAAAGAAAGAGGTAAGCAGACTGTTGGAGGTGATGTCATTCACAAGAATAAGGATGTTCGATTGTCATGAGCTATTTGATATGTATTCGACTTATTAAATGTTAAGTACTTTATATAGAATTACATTTCTTGGGACATTTTCGTTCACTGGATTTTCTGGTCTGGACTTAATTATCTACAGGCTGTCATGCTATAGCTGATTATTGCTGAAAGTGGCAAAAAATCAAACGTTTGCAGGAATATATGAATTATTGTTTCCTTTGCCCCCCAACCATCACTGCTTATAACAGCTGTGTTTATGTAATATGCGTCTTCATGCATACTTCATAAAGAGGTCATGTAGTTGTATTGAGTTATCTCCAGTACTTTTGCATGTATGAGTTTGTGCCAATATTATTTGGAGGTGTTTGCATTCTTTATTTTCAAACTCATCAAGTTTGCTGTTAGAACCACTGCATGGATATATCATCTTAAATCGAAAGTAACGGAACTTGTTTTATATTCTTGATACTCTATTGCTTATTTTCTAGTGAGAAAATAAATACCAATACAGGGGAAATACAGTACAATGTCACATTATATTCTGTTTGCATGTGTCTGAGCTACTGTTGTGGCAAATACTTACTATGAACAGATGTGCCCCTCTGCTATATAACTCATGACCTGTTTCAGTATCGAGACAGAGCAAAGGAGAGACGTCAGAAATATGGTGCTCCTCAACCACCAGAACCTAGAAACCGTTATCAGCCACCTGCAGTGTAAGTTCATCACACCAGCATTGTCCAGGAGACGAGATTTATAATGTATCGAAAACTTGACAATACGTGGTCGCTATACAATGGAGCATCAGAGTCCTCTCATGTTGATGGGTGACAGTGTCGGAGAGTAAGGTATGGGTGAAATGTTTGTTGGTGATGGAATCTCTGCCAGTCCTGCAGTCAAAGGTGGTGTTGGTTGTTACAGTTATGAAGAGCCAACCAAGGCAGGGCTTGGCGGTGAAAACATCGGCAATAAACTCATGCAGAAGATGGGATGGTCAGAGGGCATGGGGCTTGGCAAGAAATCCCAGGGCATTGTCGACCCCATTCAGGTCAGACTGTGTGTGTAACTGGTGGGATGGAAGTGTTTTATCCTTTCCCTTGTCTGCTCTGTTGTCTTGAACATCTTTGACCTTTGTCAGAAAGATTACCTTCAATATTTTGTCAAGTTCATATTATCAAGTCTGAAATCAGTTCCTGTTATATGGATGATGTTGTTTACTGTGTTGCTCCTAAAGTCAGATTCATCATAATAACCAGCTGTTGATATTAAAGACAGTACATCAAATGAATAAAGTAAGGGAAACTTTGGCGTTATTTGTTCTCCATGAAGTGGGAATTCTGTTGATGATCCTGGAAATTCCACAGAAATAGTTCTGTTTGAGGAGAATGTTCTTGTATTGAGATTGATAACCCAAAGACGGGTGAGGAGTGCATGTCAAGTGTGCACAAATGCGATATTTGATCATACATGACAGCTTTCTTTCTTCAGGCTAAGCGGCGGGTTCAGAACACAGGTCTAGGACTCAGTGGTTCCAATGTTGTGTCAGAAGTTGGAGACTCCTACAAAGATGCTGTCAAGAAAACCTTCTTCGCTCGATACAATGAACAGGATTAACAGTGGAAAAACCTAATTGTATATTTTGTAAATCTTGTACAGTGTACATATGTTTCAGATTCAATCATGTCTACACCATTCATCACAATGTACTTACCATGGCATAAAATATGAAACTTTTATACTTTTGTTTTGTTGTCAGCATCAGAATTACACCTTTCTGGGAACTTCACTCCCAAGAGTTTCTTTGGCTTTGGGCCTTGACCCACACTGAAGCAAATGTAAAATGTGGTCTACTTAGGCATAAGACTTTGTTCCAACTATGCCTCTGCACACCCAGCTGCCCATGGGTACCCGGAAGGATGATGTGGTAATAACTCAAGACCTCGTACATCATTAACAGCTTGGTTTGTTTAATCAACAGGAAGATTGAAATTGAAATTAAAGTGTGCATGGCTCCGAAGATCCGTAATTATGCAGTGTCATAAGCATTTACTTGGTGAATGGAAACAATCTTATAAATGGAATTGTTTTTCTTAATGATTTACCAAAATGCACAGACCTTGTAAAAATAACCTGATTTGTAATATACAACACTAAAAACATGCAGACGTAAGTAAATGCTTCAAAGAAATAGCAAATGGACAACAACATGTCATTGTTATCCCCCTCAAAGCGTTTTGCGGGGGGGGTATTAAAATGGACTCTGTCCGTCCGTCCGTCCGTCAGTCCGTCCATGCACATTGTCTTTTCTGGAGCAGAACTCTAGAACCGTTCAATGTTTCTTCACCAAACTTGGCACATAGATAGATCTGGTGGTGAACTGGTGCCTTTTGGTAGTTTTGGAATTCTGAATAAAATATTTTTGGCGTTTCCATGGCAACAAGTTTGACTTAGCCTGAAATTGGTGGTAGGACTCTTTTCCGGAGCAGTACTCTAAAACCCTTCTATGTTTCTTCACCAAACTTGGCACAAACATAGATCTGGTGGTGAACTGGTGCCTTTTTTTTGAGGTAGTTTTGGAATTCTGAATAAAATATTTTTTCACCAAACTTCAGCACAAACATAGATCGTTTCCATGGCAACAAGTTTGACTTAGCCTGAAATTGGTGGTAGGACTCTTTTCCGAGCAGTACTCTAAAACCGTTCAATGTTTCTTCACCAAACTTGGCACAAACATAGATCTGGTGGTGTACTGGTGCCTTTGGTGGTAGTTTTTCGAATTCTGAATAAAATATTTTTGGCGTTTCCATGGCAACAAGTTTGACTTAGCCTGAAATTGGTGGTAGGACTCTTTTCCTTCACCAAACAGTACTCTAAAACCGTTCAATGTTTCTTCACCAAACTTGGCACAAACATAGATCTGGTGGTGAACTGGTGCCTTTTGGTAGTTTTGGAATTCTGAATAAAATATTTTTGGCGTTTCCATGGCAACAAGTTTGACTTAGACTGAAATTGGTGGTAGGACTCTTTTCCGGAGCAGAACTCTAAAACCGTTCACTATTTCTTCACCAAACTTGGCACATAGATAGATCTGGTTGTGTACTGGTGCCTTTTGGTAGTTTTGGAATTCTGAATAAAATATTTTTGGCGTTTCCATGGCAACAAGTTTGACTTAGACTGAAATTGGTGGTTGTGCTCTTTTCCGGAGCAGAACTCTAAAACCGTTCAATGTTTTTTCACCAAACTTGGCACATAGATAGATTTGTTGGTGTATTTGTGCCTTTTGGTAGTTTTGGAATTCTGAATAAAATATTTTTGGCATTTCCTTGGCAACAAGTTTGACTTAGCCTGAAATTGGTGATAGTGCTGCTTTCTGGAGCAGAACTTTAAAAACCTTTCAATACTCTCCTTCCACCTTTCTATATACACACCTAAATATTTGACATAATCATAACTCGTAGATATAATCATGAAGCGTATTTTGCTATTGCGGGGGATATTGATGACTTTGTCTTCTTGTTACTTTTGCCTTGAGAATGGTTCAACTTGAAGTGAGAGCGTGTGAGGTGGCACTCCGCAATATTCCTGTGAAATGTTAGAGCAATAATTCAAGTTGTGTTGTATTTCCACACACCCTCAGTCAAGTGATTGAGCCTGCAAAATCCAGTCGACTTTAATGACCACACAGGTTTTAGTTCTTTTGACTTTTATTACTAGAAACAGTGACTTCTTGGAACACAATCCACCTGGGACCACAACTGGCTAACACTGAAGTTAAGGGCACTTATTTAAAATACACATTATTTATTTATGCATATCTCCAGATGCCATTAAATTGTGTATCAAAACAAAAGATACTAAATTATCTTATGATGATTAGTAACAAACAATTGTGTTTTCATTAGTGTTGCAGAGAAATCAAAACAATTTGTGATGCCTACTTCATGTGTTTCTGCATATCAAACACTTTCCTCGGCTAACACACACGATTATTTAGCCTATTTGACACTCTGAGATCTTAACTGCCTGGTGAAGTTGAGGCTAAGTATGTTTTTCTTAATTATTTACCAGTTCTGGTGTCCCCCCGCTGGAATATTGCTAAAACCATACTCACTCATTCACTTAATTATATGAGGAAGTGCACAGATCATCTGAAAATGGACTTCATCGTGGTGGCATTCAGATAATCAAGTCTGGAGGAGGGGAACCAGTGACTGAAACATCTAAACCATTAGCAGGGGCGGATCCAGGATTTTGGAGAAGGGGGTGCACAAAAATCATGAAGTCTAAAGCTTAGGGGGATATGCTTCTCAGGGAAAATGTTTTCCGGGAAGAGGGGGTGTGCACCAGCTAGCCACATTAACACAGTCATCATTGGCTAATATGTTCTAATGCCATGACGTTGCAATTGTTGAAAACACGAGTAGTTGCGGAGAACGATGATCATGCTGTTGATCACTGGATTGTCTGGTTCAGACACGATTATTTACAGACTACCGCCTTACAGCTGGAATATAGCTGTGTACGGTGTTAAACACACCAACCAACCAATAAAAACAAGTGAACTGCGAATGATTCGAGTGTAAGTTCCTGGGAAGATGGACCGCCTCTGTGGTGTAGTGGTTAGAGCGGAAGGTCGCGGGTTCGATCCCCGACTTCGTCATACCAACAGACGTTAAAATATGGTACTTGTTGGTCCCTGCCTGACGTTCGGCATTAATGGGTACAACAAGGACTGGTCGGCTCGGAGTCAGTATAATGTGTCTGAGTAGGGTATTCATGCTTCACTGCGGCATGGTATCTCTTTAAAACCACCTTCAATCTGGGCTAGTACAAGCAGCTACACATACACATACACATGCATGCGCGTCGTCATATGAGCAAAATATTCTCAAGCAATTGACGTTAAACCCAATTTCACCACACCTCACCTCCTGGGAAGATGTTTACAGCTCTGCATTTCAAGAGAATTAAGATCATTACAGAACGTTGTAACCAGAAATGGTTGTTTGTTGGACATGAGCTTTTTAAATACGAATGCTGTGGCAGACATATTCCAGCTCCGATTATAACATCTTCGGAAAACCCCGGTGTCACCATCGGTGGGAAGACACGTGTGAAGTTTCAGCTTCTTTGCTTCTGAGTTGGTTCAGGAGCATGATCTATGATGTAAGGTCAAGTACAAACTGGGGTGGCGTCGTCGGTAGGAACAAGTTCGTTTTAGCTTCATTGGTTCCTGATGAGATGTGTAGGTCCTAGCACGGCCAATGCAGCCACATTTGATTAATAAACATGGCTTGAACCAGAGACGTCTCTGCTTAGACAAACGTTTAATAATGTGATTACCTCGGTCCCCAACTTGCAGATTTTTCAAACATTTCTGATCTTTAATCATAGATGCCTACCAATTTGAAGTGTTACAGTTTGAAAATCCTTGATTGAACTTAAGCCCTCTCATCGTAACAAACATTCATACGAAATCTATGACCGACAGGACCGTGTTACATGGGTTTTCGCGTGTGATCAGCATTCTGCCTTTGTAAAGTGAATATCTGGAATATGCTTTTTGAGAATCGTGTTAAATGGTATTCAGAATCCAAGGGTGAAAAAAAAGGAAATTTGAACAGTACGCATGCATTGTTTGTTAAACGAAAGATGAAAAAGTATAATCTGAGTTGTGCCTTGAAAGCAGAATTAGATGACATTACACTTAGATAGTGTGCTGGAAGTCAAGATCGTCCCACTGCATGGCGGCTACTATCATTTGACATGAGCATTACTTTCAAGATTGCTTGTTTGGGAGTTAATAATTAATATAATATTCTCTCTCTCTCTCTCTCTCTCTCTCTCTCTCTCTCTCTCTCTCTCTCTCTCTCACACACACACACACACACACACACACACACACACACACACACATACATACATACATACATACATAATAAAAATAAGTGATGACGTTACGTTTCCACAAATCAGCCAGCATAAAATCGTTAACTGTTAACGTACGAAGTGTATATGTTCATCGGAGACAGCCACAGGCGATGTTTCTCGCATAGTATATTTTTAGGGATCGTTTATAATTTATGGCAAGGGGGCTGATGATGATTTTTAAATTATTTTTATTTTTATTTTTATTTGGGGGCACTCATTTTGTTCTGGGGAGGTGGGGTAGGTGGGTCATCAATTTTGTACATAAAAATATTACACAATTATGCTTAGAATTCATGGGAGGGTGTGTGTGTTTATTGATGTTGTACATGACATGCAGGAGGGTTGGATCACTTACTTTTTACACAAATTTCCCGGCCATACTTCTCCATAAAAACAGGGAGACTATATAACGTTGTAGATTATCCCTGATAAAAATCATCATCACTCCCACCCCGCCCCCTACCCATAAATTATGAACGGTCCCTTATTTAAGATATGCAACAACTCTAAATGTATAGAAAAGGTGTGGAATTTTCTATACGAATATATTATGATACACGCACCAACTTCGAATTCCCTAGTCAGGAACGTCCGACAGTGTTATAATTCTTTCCGTGTGCTTTTATTACGACGTGGTCCGGTTCTGAATGTAATATGGCGAGCTCCGTATATTTGTGATTTCCGGTGTCAACAGTTCAGCTGTGGTGATCCAGTTCGAAGACCGTACAGCACCATCAAATCGGTATATATATATTACAACAGTGCTTCGGACTTTGTAGGTGAACTTTTGTGAATGACGGGGCGGTGGGGTAGCAGTACTAGCCTAGTGGTTAAAACGTTCGCTTGTCAAGCTGAAGACCCGGTTTGATTCCCCTCATGAAGGCTGAAGCCAGGGGTCGTTGTCGGCACAGGTACTACAGATATGTACCCCAGGTACGTTTCTGTATACAGACTGGTACCCTAAACAAAGTCAAACTACAGAAACGTACCCGGTACCCTAAACGACGGACGAGTCCATATTCCGCGACCCAATACCGAAACCGTATGTAGTTATTCCCGTTCAGCTGATTGCGAGTGGTGTAGGTTGTGCACCGTGAAATATTCGTTATACTGTGTATGCTCTTATATAACGCAATCAAATGCATCTAATACAACAGTATGACAGTTCCGATCAAGAAAACTCCACAATGCAGAATGGAATCGTCCTAGGGTACATTTCTGTATTCTGATTATGGCCAGGGTACATTTCTGTATACAGAAACGTACCTGGGGTACACATCTGTAGTACCCGTGCCGACAATGACCTTTCAGCGGTAATGTGTGTGAATCCCATTTCTGTTGTCTCCCCGCCATGACATTGCTTAATTGCTGGAATGTTGCTAAAAGCGGAGTAAAACTAAACTCACTCACTCATTTTGTGAATGACAACAGTAGCACAAACCACTGAATGCAGCAACACCTTATGTTGTCAGCACGAGCCCAGAGCGGCTGTGTTCTTGAGTCAGGGTGGTAAATACTGTACACATTTGAACGCGAACCGGATTGAGTGACACAGGGATGAATGCAACCCCAACTCACAGCCTACGAACAGGAAACTAATCGAAAGGCCTTGCTTCATTCCCTCATTGATTGGTAGTCAAAGTCAAGATCAATTTGAAAAAAACCCTGAGCATTTGAAGAAAATCAACAGTGGATTTCAGTTTTCTTTCTTGAGCTGGTTGTTCCTGTGCATATCTCTTGTGATGACTTTATTGTACATGTGTCTTGTTTGTATATGTGTATCTGTACATTGTACATACTGTCTTATGATTGTCACTTCAAATGAAATGCACTTCTTATTATGATGCATCGTGTTCTAATGACATTAATGTTATTGATATTGTAAGTTAAACATGCTAGCGCCAGTAGTTGTTAGGAATATCTTATGTCATATTCCATCCGGGTTATCCGCGTCCTTCTTCCGGTGCGTGTTTTGTAAACTCACGTAATAAACCTGTCACGGGTCAAGAAAGCTTTGACTGTTTGTGCTTCCTAATGGCGTGGTGGCAGCGCTGATCTTACCACGTCTTCAGAGGTACTTCACAATATAAGTGAACAGTCACCCGCCTTATATGAAGTGTGTACGGCTCAATTAACCGTTCGAAACAATGGCTAACACACATCATGCACCAAAACAGTGGTGTTTGACAAAGTCAGAAATGGTGAACTCTTTCAAAAACTGGAAGCAGAACATTATTTATACACTTTCTCTTGACCCAAACTTTGCTCCATTCATTACTGGTATTGATTGGGCTAAGAAAACATGTGCAGCTCCATTACATGGCTTCGAAGATGATGGTAGGGACGTTAGGGGGGCACGCACTGCACAACAGAAGGTTACCATGCTTGAGCTCTTGCTCGGACAGATAGCCAACTATTGTCCTCTCATATCAAGAAACACAATTGTTAAGAACTCCACCTCTGTTGATGGGATATGTAGGGATTATTACACTTCATTTTTCATGACGGCCTTGGTCAGATATGGGTGTCTCGGGATGATATTGGCCAATATATGAAAAATGAGTAATCTTTTTATCAATTAATACCTGCCTAAATTAAGATTTTTTTCAGTTACATGTTTTTTTTTTTATCTCTTTGTCCAAATACACATTGTTTATTAAAAAATAAATAAAGACGCTAGCTTCCTTTCCCCGGCCATGATCAAAGGATGATCTAACATGAGGTCATCTCTATGACGTCATTCTTGATGTGATGTCATTCGATTCATTAAGGTTCTGTGACGTCGTGTACAAAATTAACGGGGAAGATATCGATATCTTCCCTCCTCTCAGCGGGCCGATCCTGCCCATATTGGGGTGGCAAAAAAAGTCCTGTTCAAGGAGACCACCAACCAGATTTGATGATTATTATATGGACTTTTAAATTCCCTCCTTCCCGTTACACTTTTCATGGACATTTAAATTCTAGTCAGGCAGTTAACCATTTCAGTATTCATACCGTTAAACAATCGCTTTTTGTCCAGTTCCTCATTCTCAACTTCATGAGTAAAGAGAAGAAAAAGTGGCCCCACCAGTAGTTGTTAGGAATATCTTATGTCATATTCCATCCGGGTTATCCGCGTCCTTCTTCCGGTGCGTGTTTTGTAAACTCACGTAATAAACCTGTCACAGGTCAAGAAAGCTTTGACTGTTTGTGCTTCCTACTGGCGTAGAATGATGTTGTTGACATATGGGTATAAGAAAGAACGCCAGTGGTATACTGGCTAGTGGCACTGCGTCAAGCAGACAGCACATACTACAAGAAACAGGCTTGGTCATGATGACAGGCAGACAATCTCATGGCTTCCTTTCTTTGGCTGGGTGTATTCTGTTCCACTACATGGGACTAACATGTATATCTTCCAGACCTACAAGTCCAAATAAACATCATTATATTATTATTTCTTCCTTGCCAGGGGCGCTGTAGTACAGTATGCCACAAGTTGGCTGGACCTGTGTCAAGGTAAGAGGACCCATGTTTATGTATTGGAATCTCAGTTCTCCCAGATTTAGTTTTTTCGGTTTATCATACCAATGCCTGTGACTTTTGCCAAAGTTGTAATTATCACAGACCTGAATCAGTCCGGGTTTTACTCCCACATTAAGTTTGGATTGCTGGGCTATAACTGGAATTAAAGACAAAACCTATGCCAGTCACTACTAAAGGTGTTGAGTAGCTTTGGTCTTTCAGCACGATATCTTGGAAAATTGTGTGAAACTGAAAAGTAGGATTGAAGTTTCATATGTACAAGGTTGGTGGTCCTGAATTGATCGGCAGAATTTCTGATATGTCATGTACGAGATGTGCATAGTGACGATTTACAATCTTATTGACTTCTTTCCAGTGTGGTGTTCATAACTTCAAGAAAAGAGATAACTGTTTCAAGTGCAAATTTTCCAGAGATGGTGAGATTTTATTATCTTCTGGCATGGAGTTCAGCGCATTACAAATGGACTCATTGTTATTATTACTGAATGATATGTTTTCAGCATTTTAAGGCCTAACAGAACATCCAAACCTATTTCCACAGATAATTTAACTGTAAAGAAAAAAGTTGAGAAGTCATTGTCAGGGAATGTTTACAGATGCCTGAATTAAATACGCTGGAATGTAAAGACTATATTTCTTTATCCGTCTTGTTTCAGAATCTGACAAGACAAACGACAGAGATGGCTTTGACCAAGTAGGACTTAATCCATGCAATAGTAAGTTATATCAACATTTACGAAATGGATTTTACATTCAAATAAGCACAATCAACAGTACATCAACAACATAGCAGGGCTCCAGATAATTTTTCAACATCAGGAGTACGTACTCCTTATTATTTCAATACAGGAGTACTGAATAACCTTAAGAGTACATTTAGAGTACTGAATGGGATTTAATGGAGTATCAGTAATCTTGTGTTTCGTTTCATATATACACGACAGCATTGCAATAATCAATAAAACAATACATATTCAGATGAATACGTCTATAAAGGATTCTAAGACCGTACACCATTGCTGTGGTGCGTATCTGCTACGTTTTCTAAATTATTTCCTACCGTATCGTGCTTTTTTTATATCCGTACATACGCCGATACGACCCTTATCTGGAGCCCTGACATGGTACTTATGTGGTTTTTATGATTATCCCTTTTTGGGGTCCAAGGCTGGAATTGTGCTTTCAGCAACAATTCAGTGTCACACAGAGAAGAAGTTGCAGATGTTTGTATGTTAGGTGTTAAGTGTTTATATTATGTGAGAGATACCAAGGGACACAACTCAGGCTACTATCCAACAAATCTGGACAAAGTTGGTCCCAGTATAGACATCACATTCATTTGTATGTCTACATCAGTGTATGAAATAAGCCCAAAACCCAGCCACATATCAGGGCTGGTAACTTCAAAATGTTACCAGCCCAAAATGGATTTAACCAGCCACCAAAATATGGTGAATTTACTCTGATGTACATGATGTATGGAACAGCTAAAGTTTTACCAGACCGTTGAGCTGGCCAGCTGTAAATTTGGACCGTCCGTCAGAAATCAAGCCCGTCTCAGACAGGCCTTATTTCATACACGTCTACATGTTTTGTAAATGTACGGATGAGTGAATTTGATGTTTTACTGAAGGATTACTATTGGGCTAACATAGTGTACAGATAAAAATAAGAAAATGTGTTTGTGAGATATTTTACTGTTTGAAGTGAACCAACACCAAGATTATGTATTGTGTTACCAGATGTTACCAGATATTTGCCCAATGCTTCAACGTAAGTGTTAGTATCCCATTTGACTCATTTTGTAATCGAGTCCATGTTTTTCCACAGCTCTCATATTTCGAGGTCTTGATGCACTTACAACAGAAGAGTCCCTTGACGTAGCATTACGATTACAAACAAATCTCCAGTCTAAGAATGTGCGCATCATTCGAGACCCAGTCACAAACACATCCAGGGGCTACGGGTTCTGTGAGATGAATTCCATTCAGGAATCCACGCAAGTTACAGATTTCCTGACTCAAAACAATGTTCCTTTGGAAGTAGATGGCAAACAAGTTCTCACATCGTATGCAAAGAACACTTTCTCCACTGTGTGAGTATATTGTGATAGAAACACAAGGGTTGAAAGCTTATGATGAAGAGTTCAGATCCTGATTCATCCTGATTCTTTGGTACAATATCCATGTCCAAAGCTGTAAAGTTTTAACAGTTTTCCCACATGAATTACTTTCTTCACACTGAAGCTGATGAAGTGAAAGAATGGAAACACTGATCATATACTGTTTTACCAAACTCATCTCACGCTCAAACTGTATTAGACATAGCTCCAACATGCATTTTAAATTTGCCACTCCAGCAATTATTCGTAAGTGATTTTGCACTGGATCATATATATATATTTACGTATTCAGCAGAAAATCAGCTAATTTTTTCATCAGTGTCTGCAAGTTGCAACATTATCCCTGAATATTTTGTGAAGGGAAAGTTTGGAAGCTTCCTTGCTGCTTGTTTGTGTGTGTTGTTGATGTTGGGTTGATCTTTCTTAGTGCTTTTTTCTTTCAGAATGGCAATTTTAAACAGTTCACTTCAAAATCGGGTAGGTAGGAACTTAATAACAAACTGAATTTTCTGTTGCATTTTATATGACAAATGATGTTTCATAATGCTTTTATGTAAGATAATCACAATTTTTATTTTGAGTTCTACCTTCTTAATAATGTACTGTACAAGTTTTTTTTGGTTTTTTTCTTTGTTTAATGCTGCACACAGAGCAATTGTCCATTTTTTTAAACATCCAACTCTCCTGTATGTTGTAGGCATCGGACTACAACAGTCAACAAGTAGCTGGAGCTGGACAACCAGGTAGCGAGTAGCCAGATGTCTTTCACATGGCGGTTCAAGGGAGAGAACCCTTTCATATATATTCATAGCATACCACTACTAATGAACAAGTCTCTTCACAAATGGCAAAATCATGAAAACTATCCAACAACTTGGGTAAAGCAAACTATATTTCTTAATCAACAGTTACTAACCCACTGGGCAATGGTTAAAGCGTTTGCTCATAATGCCCGAAGACCCGAGTTAGATTCCCCACTGTTTGTGAAATAATGCTGACAACCCCATTATTCACTGATACACAAATCTTTGCAAGTGTCTTGTATGCTATCATTTCAGGTTAGTGAGAAGATGGTATAAGTTGACCTTCTCCATACTTTTATGTGATCAGGGTTTTTTCTCGCAGTACAGTTTCTTAGTAATATTGCTTTGTGTCTTGCGATGCAAATGATTGCATATATTTTGTTCGTACTTCTCCAGCGGACTCTACAAATGCTGCAGCAGCAGTTGCCCAGGCTGCTATTGCTCAAGCCAATGCTGCCAAGAACTACAACAAACAGGTATTTGTCTAACATGGGAATAGCAGCCTGATGGGCTGCATTTTTCATGTTATGAGTCTATTAATAAAATATAAATATAAATTTTCCTTAATTGATGTAAATAGAATTGCTATACCACCTTTCCAATCCGATCCCATCTCACAAGGACTTAATTTTTCATAGACGAAAATGAGGGTCTTGGTATAGCCATATATGGCCTGCTACCAACACATCACCTTTATGGACAAGCTTAGGCCTTATTTTGTTTTGTACAATGTTCAACACTTTGTTTGTATTGGATTTGGTTGGCTTTGTTGTTTCAAAGCCTCACTCAGCAATATTCCAGCTATATGGCGTGGAAGATATCTGTCAGTCAGTCAGTCCCTGAGCCTTAACATAAACAAACATAGTGGGTACATCAACCCATGCTCGAGGGACCAGTGAACCTTAATGTTAATTTTGAATTGTTTGGAAACAGTCGGTACCGAATCTTTTGTAGCCATCGCTAGATTTTGCTGACAAGAAAACATATTTAGAGTTATCTCCCTTCCATCGATTTGCATTCGCAAAACATCGGTAAATTCCGTACATCATACGTGATCCAATGTTATTCGAGATAAAGATTTACTACCACAAGTACAGAATGAGTTGCCATTGACAGCGGGTACATTGAAATGTACCTCGCTTGTAAGCGGGGTACATCTAAAATAATAGAAGAGCGCTCAGCCAATCAGAAAGCGACATTTATGTGTGAGGTAAGATAATTATTCTTGTTCGAATTTCTTCCAGACACCAGGTCCTAAGAAAGCTGAGCCAGTAGTTGAACAGCCAGCCACCCCACCTGCTAGAAACAAGGAAGTCCTAGCATATCGTAAGAAATAATTCCTTGCATAACCATCTCTTGTGTACCCTAAACAATTCCATCTTGTTGCATTTTATGTACATTATCTTGAATATATATTAATTTAAAGGTAGTCCAGTCATAAGCAAAAATTTCTTTTGTTAGAAAAAACTTCTTTCTTTATTCAAATTTTGTGATTTTGGAATAGATGAACTCCTTAGGAGCATATTTTAGAACTGCATAATATCGAGCTCATTTCTTGGTAGAAATATGACATTGACAGGATTCATTTGCACATTTTATTCCTAATGAGACCAAATGGTTTGCAATAGTAGTCAGAAGTTGAACTGTGGATGGCATGGCTTGACATTTCTAAAGAATTTCTTGCACAAGTTCCATATATTCCCTGAAAGCTGTGTTCCACCTCATTACAGTGGCTCCAGATGTGTCCACGTACCAGTTTGATAAGACTTCAGGATATTATTGCGATCCATCAACAGGCCTCTACTATGATGCCAGTTCACAGGTATTTATCCGATGTCTTAGACAAATGATATGGTTATGTGCTGGTTGATAATGCAGGATATGGAAAGGTTCTCTCTGTTTTTGACATGAAGCCCATTTCTGGTGTCTCCTGCTGTGATATTGCTGGAATATTGCTAAAAGCAGTGTAAACAAACTCACTAACTCTGTTTTTGAGGGATTTCAACCCAAGTTTGATATGATTTTTAAGTTATAATTCAGTTTAATAAGGTTTATAGACTGTTTTTACAAACCGCATATGCCATGTTTATTAGCAAATTGATATTTAATGTTCTAAGATGCTTCGGTAAAAGATCAAAGGCGCCGACAATACTTTATCAGACGATAATGTGCACTTTGTGCATTACGTCACAATGCAATTGCGTCATTGAACCATTCTAGTCTGCCCCCTCGTAATCAAACGTACCCCTGGTAACCGACATCATGATGCATGTCACTTGTCATCGCCTCGTACAGCCTCCTACAGTAAACTGTTCCGTAGCACCCAGTTTCTTGGTTTGCAGTTGCTTCACTCGGCTAACATCACTGGTGGAAACATTACGTTTATTTTCCAAGGATATAATGTCTCAGTTTGACTCACAATTGAACAGCAACACAGCAATGTTCGCAATGTTTACATTCCCACAATGCTTCCCTGGAATGTTGCGTGACTAGTCAGCTTCAGCTGGATGATTACGTTGGTAGTAGAAATGCTACGTTCATATTGCCCCATATGGTTAACAATAATCACAGACGTAATTAAAATAATTTGGAGAAGATATTTAACCCGAACCTAAACCGTCGTCAAACTGTTGATCGTTTGTTTTTTCTGGTAACGCCCACCTTAACGTAGGGGGACAGATGCGTCAATAGAACAGCGCGTCTGTTAGCCATGAATGAGGATTGTTAATTTAGATCACTGACACAGTCGCTTTTCTGTTTGTTTTCTGCCTTAGATTTATCATCGGTTAGTATTAAATTTGGCATCTTAGAAATGAAATACAGATCGCTCTACCACCATATATAGCGTAATAAAGCCCACTGTCGCCCTGAACTATTATAGTTAAAGCACGAGGAAGTTTGCATTTTTTGAATGCACATAAGGGACAGTTCAATTCTCCTGCAATCCAGCTTGCCTTGATATGAAGCTTGAACATGTTTGAAAGCATGTGGTATTGTTGTTTGTTTGTTGATTCAGTTTTTGTTAAAGAGCTTTGGGACTAAAATAGAGTGAGTACGGTTTTACACCACCATTATTAATTTTCATGGCTGGAAATGACACCAGAAATGGGCTTGACACGTGTGGGGAGCCACAACCGTGATATGTGAACTTCATGACGTGTAGGCTATGAGACTGTCATTTTATCCAAACTGAGGCATGCACGTCTTCTTGAAGTTTTAAGTGCCCAGGTCAGAACTGGAACTAAGAGATATCAAGCCCTTAGTTACGCTGCCAGCAGTACTATTGAAAGTGAAAGTGAAAATCTTCAAATGCAATTTGAAGATGGTAAACAGCAGTATATAGAAATGTCTATCTATTGTTAGCATTTTATGAACATCTATGGCATTGTAACAAACAATGTAGCACAATTTCAACATTGCTAAACAATTTATTGTCTGCCATATGATGGTAGACGTTTCTATTCAATTTGCTGTATTTCGTAGATGTAATGGACAGAGAAGTATCAACCTTGTCAAAGAACGTTATTCAGATTACATTGAACAGCATTTTATCTTACAGGTCTCCTGCCCAGTTACGTCCTGCAGTGTTAAGCTTGTGTGGCTGGAACTGAGGGACCATTGGTTCAGTGTCCACAAGCCTACCATCACCACATACCGCTGTCCTCATCCCAAGTGTCAGTTTCAGCCATCTAAAAACACCATCCCTTCCAAACATGGCTTCACAACACACATATACAAAGTCCATGGAATCAGAGGGAAGCAGCATGATCTGCTGCTGAAACTGTCCAAAACTGAGACCAAGGAGAACATGGACTATGTAGACCCTGGAAAAGCTGTGTGTCCTCAACCAGTGAAGGTATGCACAGTGAGATATGCATCTCAGCTACAAAGCACTGGTAAACTTGGAATCTGAGGAACAGTTACAACTTCTTGAACTTGACCTGATCAAGTGAATACTAATGCATTGCGTGACCGTGTCACAACTGGTTGAGTCTGTTATTGTGAAGGGGTGCACCTTTGTTAGTTGATTGTCAACATGTCCAAACACAAGCCGAGACAAGGTTGCTGTTTGACATCTCAGTGTCGAGAAATCATCAGCAATGTCCTAACTTTCTTTGAAAATGAAGCTACAGGTGGTTTAATGTTTCCGATTCGGGCTTTTAGGTAGCAAGCAGCAGCAACAACTGGTGTTTCCAGTGAAATCCTAATAGAACAAGAAAGGAAAAACTTCCCCTATTTAATGAAGTTAGGCCAGACCGATTTTATTTCTTGTTTTACGAAGTTTTGTCTTCAGAAAACCTAAAGGCTGGAGGGAAAAGAATAAAAAACAAAAATCACCAGTCACAGTAATATTCCTTTTAAGTGCTAAAAGTATTTTATTTTTGGCAATTTATGAAGTGTATATGGGGCAAAAAACAATTTTAAAAAATTATTTTTTGTATGTTTACATTTTTGGCCAATAAAAAACATGTGGTTTTTATTTTTTGAGCGGGGAATTTTTTTTTTCATTTTCTTATTCTTGAAAAAATATGACGGCGGATCCGTAAAACAAGAAATAGAATTGGCCTGGCCTTAACTTGACCTGCCGTTTGTGCCATTTGACCTCCTGGTTCATGCACATGTAGAGTACCTCAGGTCAAGCTGAACAAGCTGTACTATGTGCAGTGCGGTCATTGTTGTTATCATTGGCCTCCGTGGTGTAGTGGTTACTGTCCACCCGGAGAGCGGAAGGTCGCGAGTTCGAACCCCGGCCGCATCATACCAAAAGACATCAAAATATGGTACTTGTTGGTCCCTGCCTGGCGCTCGGCATTAATGGGTACAACAAGGACCAACAAGGACTGGTCGGCTCGGAGTCAGTATAATGTGTCTGAATGGGGTATTCATGCTTAACTGCGGCATGGTATCTCAGTGGGCTAGCACTAAAAAACCAGCTTAAGTCTGGGCTAGTACAAGCAGCCACACATACACACGCATGCACATCGTCATATGAGCGAAATATTCTTGAGTGCGACGTTGAACCCATTTCACCTCACCTAACCACAATGGCAGGGAATGTTGCTTGTGCTTTCACTCACAGGTCTTTCTGAACCACACTTTCGAAATTGCTGGAATATTGCAGACAGTAACTACACAAGCCTTGTTCCCTCAGTTGTGACTAAATATTTTGGTTGATGCCCTGAATTCAGAATTATTGTGGTTGAATTTGTCATGCATAATTTACTGATCTTCCAAAAGTCGTGCCTTTTGGTCTAATTATGTGAGATGTGTGTTCTATGTACCAGTAACCAGTACAACTGACTTAGTAACCACACACAGCCTCATTTGTCCATTTTTCTAAGGTGTCGTCTCCTTTTGTTGCAGGCACATGGGCCTATATCCTCCACTGGAAAGACCCAAGTGAAAACTAAAGCTGGTGTAAAAAGAAATCTTCCAGCCGCGGTTGAAAGTACACCGGCAGTTCCAGGACCAGCCAAACGTAAAAAGCACTGGAACCCCAATTTAGTCCAAGTGAACACACTTTCTATTCAACAACAACCAGTCAAAGATGAAAAGGGAAACACAACATCCACAAGAACCAAATCATCACCTCCACAAGCATCAGAACGTACAACTCAGTCAGCCCCTAAACAATCACCTCGACCAGCACTTCAAACAGTAACTCAGAAACTTGTTCAACCAGCAACTAAAGAAAAAACTGAATCAGAACATCAGCAAGCATCTGAACCAACACCCCAGCTAGCATCTGAACCAGAAAATCCTACAGCATCTGAACCAACAACTCAACAAGAGACTGAACCAGAAAATCCTACAGCCTCTAAACCAACACCAGAGCAAGCAACAGAATCAGAACATCTGCCAGAATCTGAACCAAAACCTCAGCAAGCAACTGAACCAGAAAGTCATAAGTCATCTGATCCACAGAAAGAGATGTCTGAAGCTACACATGAAAATAATTCAAACGTTGAAATGCATCCCTCAAATGTTGACGAGGATGCTTCAACAGCAGATGTGTCGGTTGCAGGAAGCTCGGAGGTGATTGAGACAACTTTGCCTGAGGAAGGAGCTATTGACCCAGGTCCTATCACTCAAGTAATGGACATATTGGAAAAAACTGATATTTCTGATGTCATTCCTGCATTGTGTAAAGAAGCTAAAAGCAATTTAACTCAAACTGAGGAATGTTCCTCAAGCTGTGTCATGACTTCAGCAAGCAGATCAAGTGTGTCGTCTGTCACAGAGGGTGTCTGTCAAGCCAAAGAGAAGAAAGAAACACACATCAGTGTATTGGTCAGTCATCAGACAGTCCCCTGTCCCCAGGTAAATCGGACAATACCTGTGTTAATTGGTCGACAGACAGAAAGGCCACCAAATTCTGTTTCAAAGGGAAAGAAGCTAACAAAAAATGTATTGACAAAGATTGTGACTCCTAGCTGCCAGCCAAGCACTCATGTCAAGGAAAAGACAAGTCAGAAAACAGCAATAAACACTAAGGATGTCACTCTGTCTCGAACCCAACCAAGCAGTAGTCCCAAGGTAAAGAGGACCCAAAGAAACACTGTTTCAAGTGTCCGACAACCGTCCAGGCAGTCAAGAGGCAGCAGGAAAGATAAGGAAGCTGTAAAAGCTCCTGCAGCTGCTGATGATGGTCTCTTCAGTGGTCGGTCAAAAGGTATCAGGAAAGGCCGAGGCTCTGGTGCCACTCCGTCAAGACGTCCAAGAGTCATTGAGGTCGCTCATCCCTCAAGTGTTCTTCCAAGAATGGGGGTTACAAAGGAAGAACTGAAATGTTTTATGTCATGGACACGTGAATACATTGTTATCCTTCAAAAGGCTCGTGAAAAGGCATCAAGACAGCTCGTGACACTTACTGAAAAAGAGTAGATAACTAACTCACCAAGATGCTATGTTTCACCATTGAAATACCACACGGCATACTTTCACAGAGACTTTTCATTGACTATAATTGAATGTGTAATGGTGAGAACTGTTGGACAAGCTGAAGAGACAGCTGATAATTTGACTTGTCATGATTTGCCTTCTCATGTGCATTAGCAAATTAATTGTATTGCAATATATTGTATGCAGTCTGTATAGTGACTTGTATTGCAATATAGTGAGAGCTGAAGTGTTGCAGTACATATTGTAACACATAATGCAATATGTATCTTTGAAAAACATATTGCAGTATACTGGTAGTACAATGCAGTCCGAATTTATATCAAAATGAATATCTGCCATTAAGAGAACTTATTTTATGCAATGTAAATGTAATTGAGATGATTGTGTATGGAAAGGGACTAAACAGATGTTACTGGATGTTTTGACAAATTGAAAAAGGATTATTAAATACTTTAATGAAAATGCTTTTTTTCATATTACTAACCATTGAAAACATTCTAATGAGTCTATTGACACACTACAGTTGGCATTTACATCCACATTTCCAGGATTCAGCACTTAATAATGTTATGAAATCTTTTGTTTCTTCAACCTTGCCTCATGGGTGACTGGAAAGTCCCATCAGTATATCCTGTTGACTTACTGTTGTAGGGGTTTCCATGTGGGGGTATGACAGCTAGATTTTTGCTCCCTACATGGAAATGCAAAATTTAGCTTTATTGGCTGGATAGAGGGTGCTTGATACCACTCATGGTATTTGGATAACAAGGCAGTATGAACGGAGTTAACATTACCGTGGTCTAGGGCATTTCATGGATTGTCACATTCTGAAAGTTATGGTAATCTTAAAATCTTGTGAAAGTTCCAAAATGCAAAGTCCCCAAAAATATTGAACTTTTTGTTTCCAAAGGCAGATCAATGACGGAAGCCCTGATTCAACGCAACAGTTTGAATTTTAAAAGAGTTCTCTCAAATTATAATAGTTATGTTGAAAAGATTTGTTCATGGAATAAGATTCGTTCCATGAAAAGTTAAAAAGATCAAAGTTTTGTTGTATTTTACGGCCTCTCGAATTTAAGCACAGGGCTTAATTTCAGAAAAAAATTATTCTTAAATGAAAAGGGTCAAAATCGAAATTAAGCCCAGGGCTTAAATACGAGGATTCCCGGTACCAAGATATCTAAATTTATTACCCACGTGGTGAACGTATGGGTAGTTGCATACTAATCTCGTACGTCACACGAGTGTCGTATCGCGTTGACCTGTGTCGTAACGACTTGACCTGAGATTCTAACGATTTGATTGGATAACCGATGACCTCTCAATTAGGTCACATTCTGACGTAACTATTTATTCATTCTTAACAAACACGTGAATTCATTCATTCTACAACTAAAATGCATTGTGGGAATGTAAACATTGCGAACGTTGCCGTGTCGCTGTTTAATTGTGAGTCGAACTGAGACATTATATCCCTCGAAGAACATAAACGCAATGTTTCCACCAGTGATGTTAGCCAAATGAAGCAACTGCAAACCAAGAAACGGGGTGCTACAGAGTAGTTTACTGTAGGAGGCTGTACGAGGCGATGACAACTGACGTCGGTTGCCAAGGCAGTGACGTCATTACAGTGTGACGTCATGCAAATATTGTACTACAGTACAAAACTCTTCCGCAACCTCTTTATGAAACCGGTTTCGGTTTGAAACAAAAAAGTAACAAAAATACGCTATTTTGTCAATTTAATGCATGTAAGAAGTGGGTAATAAATAAAATACCACACTCGGTCTCATTACATACAAATTATACGAAACTCGTGACCTTCCTATGTTATCTGACCTCGCGTTCGCTCGGTCAGATACCATAGGAAGGACACTCGTTTCGTATAATTCGTATGTAATGAGCCCTCGTGTAGTATTCTCTATTTATTACCTACGTGGGCGAATATCGGGGTTCATATTTTTCATAAGATGCCCTAGGGCAAAATATCACTTGTCATGGTGACGTAACGTCATGAACAATGCTATGACATCACGTTTCTTCTGTGACGTTGCGTTCTATATGCGGCGGGTAGCCAGCCTATGTTTGAAAGTAGATTTTGGTTATTTTCCTCTATTTCACGACTTCGGTAATAAACAGAATATTATATTCGTGCCCATATCATACTATGTTTACGACACTCGTGCCTAAATATCGGTATATCCCTCGCTCTCGCTCGGGAAATACCAACATTTAGGCACGAGTGTCGTAAACATAGTATGACATGGGCACTCATATAATATCCTCTGTTTAACCAAACTCATAAATTGCGATACATTTCCACATTCTTGAAAAATCCAAGCATATGAATAACCAGTTTGAAATAACAACATTCTGACATGTGAAGCCCAGTTTGCATTACCAGCTTCGTCCTGCGCTTTAAGCATGTTATAACAGAATTTGTGTGGAGTCCATATGGATCAACCTACACCATATGGACTCGACACGAAATCTGTTATATTTGAAGATGCTACTCTGGACTTTTACTGTACTTTCACGAAGCGTAAACCCCCATATTTCACTGCCATAACATGCAATTGGTGCAGTTTTTGTATCCAATATGGACAAAACAAGAGAAGCAATCATCTAGTAGACGGAGGTATGGTCATCGTGATGTTCTTGAAATAAGCTTCACCACCCAAATCATCTCACGTCCATCTCACTAAATTTATTAATTTACTCAGGTGCCCCCAACGTTGCCTCTTTCAAAGGCTTTTATTAGAGATCGGTACTCGCATCACAAATACAGCCCTCTCATCTCCGGTACATGTATATGACGTTTCATCATATCAAAGGTTTTTGTCATGTCTACCCATGTCTTAACTAAGATATATAGCGCTCACATACACGAACGTTATAAAAAGTACCTCTATATCGGCCTAAATGGAGGAAATCCCTTGTCGCACTTTCGAGCACCTGTTACGATTATTGCGCTCGAAAACTTTTATGAATGACTTCTTTGTACTTATACCTACGAGTGCGCCCTATTTTCTCTATAAAAATTTCCAGAGGTTAATATTTGCAAGCCATCAAACATCTCAGTCGATCTCTTGCAGGTCAGTAGCTGTGACGCATGCAAACAATATAATGTGACAATGTACAGTATTTCCCCTGTATTGGTATTTTATTTCTTATTTGGACAGCCTATAGTGATTTTTGAAAGAAAAAGCAATAAAGAAGATCAACCTGTATCCATAATAAAAAAATAAGATCCATTGATGTACACTAAGATGCCCCAAATGGGGCGTGGTGGGCAAGCAGTCTAAGGGGCCAGACTAGTGATCCAGCGAGCATGAGGTGACGGGATTGAGCCAGCCTGAGACCGGGAGTGAAAATCTTGGAGTGAACTTTGTGTGCAGACTCTTTCCGTGTTGTCACAACCCCTAGTGTAAGTACACAACTATGTGCACTTAAAAGAACCCACGAATCCATTGGTAAATGACCAAATGGTGGCCACATGAATACGTGCATAGTTGCGGGTACAGCAACGTGCAGTAAAACTTGGACAAAGTAATGTGACTATGTGTCCCCGTCCACCCAGCTGTGAATGGGTACCTTGTAAGGATGGGAAAGCCACATAACTCGGTGCGCCTAGTAGCTGCAAAGAGCTGTTTGCTCCTAAGGGAGTTGAGATTGACATCCATTGATCGAGGGAAAAACAATGCGCCTAAAAAATGAACAGCTTAACTGAATATTGGCGCTACACAAATATAGTAATAAAAATCCATACTGAGGTTCTGGAGATATTTTTCTAATTAACTGCAAACTTGATTAAAAATTTCTCATGACTTTGCAATTTAATAATGTGAACACCTCAAAATCACAGAAACCATATGTACACATTCTTGAGATACAACTCAACACAACTATTGGACCTACACATGTATCTATGTTTGGTGGGTTGTGTAACGCTGTACTCAGTAACATTCCCGGGGCGGTGGGGTAGCCTAGTGGTTAAAGCGTTGGCTCGTCACGCCGAAGGCCCGGGTTCGATTCCCCACATGGGCACAATGTGTTAAGCCAAATTCTGGTGTCCCCCGCCGTGATATTGCTGGAATATTGCTAAAAGCGGCGTAAAACTAAACTCAGTCAGTCAGTCAGTCAGTCAGTCAGTCAGTAACATTCCCGATTATTTGATGACTGCCTGTAAATAATAGTGTCTGGACAGAACAATCCAGTGATCAACAGCATGAGCACCAATGTATGAAAGTACCACCTGATACCGTTAGTCGCCTCTTACCACAAGCCTCGGTGAACACACACACACACACACACACACACACACACACACACACACACACACATTTTATTATACGAATATATGTTGCTAAACTCTCCAACGTCGAATTCCCGTGTCAGGAACGTGCACAGCGTCATCCTAACAGTGTTATTTATAACAGTTTATGTATGTTTTATTACGACGTGGTCCGGTTCTGAATGTAATATTGGGAGCTCCGTGTATTTGTTATTTCCGGTGTCAACGGAAGCGCTTCGTCTCTGGGTAGGAGAGTGGAGTTGAGATGATCAGCTGAAATTACTTTAAATAGGTCTAACTTCCATTCTGGTGCTTGTCATTGGGTTACCTTGGTAAACCAAAATTATTCATTAAAGGGCAGATTCCAGCAATGGTGTGTGAACTTGATCTTTTACTCAGCACTAATTGAACCAAACAGAATATCAGGCGTTGAATCAGGTCTCATTTTCTTACACAGTGTCCACAGGCTGTTCTTCTGTCCATATAAATAAACTCGTATTCCAGCCAAGGCCTACATCGACGTCGAGCACACCTCTAGTGCAAAGTCGTCAAGTTATATGCTGGACTAGATGCCGGGAGGATTCATGTCAGAGGGACATATTCGCTTATTAATGATATTTGTTTGCGCACAATGATCTTGATCAGTAACCACGAGAACAACAAAGTTTCGGTTATTTTCAGAAAATATGGCACATAAATGGTGTCCAGGCCGAGAGGATTATGTAAACTTTGTAATGGCTCCTGCTCCAGCTTCCATGCCAGTGGCTAGGGGCAGTATGTTTCCTGAAATGGGTGAACCCCCAAATAGATCTTTGCCGGGGAATCGAGTGCCAATGATAAAACAAGACCATATGAACCTGAACAGCAGCATGGATAAAGATCCTGGGTACTGGAAGGGAGAAGACAGATTGTCTCATGATAGAAATCCACATTTCGACAGGATGCCACTTGAGAGGAGCTTTGGTGAGTTGTATCGGTATTCTAGAACTTAGTAGAAGTTGTAAAGTCAATGATAGAGAATACGAATTTATGGATAACAACTTCTTTATTACATAGAGCGATATTTCAGTTTATCATCCAAAACTGTGTTCCACAGGAGATACTGCTTGTATGAGATATATATCCTTTATTCCCCACGTGGTCAACGTATTGCCTACTAATCTCGTACGTCACACGAGGGTCGTATCGCGTTGACCTGAGATTCTAACGATTTGATTGGATAACTGATGACCTCTCAATAAGTTCACGTTCTGACGTAACTATTTTTTCATTCATAACATAAACGTGAATTCATTCATTCTACAACTTATATGCATTATGGGAATGTAAACATTGCGAATGTTGCTGTGTCATTGTTTAATTGTCGAACTGAGACATTATATCTGTCGAAAAACATAAATGCAATGTTTCCACCAGTGATGTTAGCCGAGTGAAGCAACTGCAAACCAAGAAACGGGGTGCTACGGAGTTGTTTACTGTAGGAGTCTGTACGAGGCGATGATAACTGACATGCATCGTGACGTCGGTTACCAAGGTAGTGACGTCAGCAAATAGTGTACTACAGTACAAAACTCTTCCGCAACCTATTTATGAAACCGGTTTATGTTTGAAACCATAAAAATAACAAAAATACGCTATTTTGTCAATTTAGTGCATGTAAGACGTGGGTAATAAATAAAATACCACACTCGGTCTCATTACATACGAATTATACGAAACTCGTGACCTTCCTATGGTATCTGACTCGCCGCTTTTCGTTCAGATAATTCGTATGTAATGAGACCGAGTGTAGTATTCTCTGTAGGAGATATCGTTTTGACAGTAAATTTTGTGCAATGCCCTGACAATGCTATGACGTCATGAACTATCGCAGTGTGACATTTGTTGTTTAAAAAGCTGATACTCGTTCTAGTAACACATGATGCGGATATACACCTCTGCTCTGGTAGCTTATTACAATGTCAGTAAGCAATGTTGGCCACTAGTCGAGAGCCAGAGTCTTTTGAAATATTTTTTGGTCTTGGATATAGCATGTATTTGGCTGATGAAGGCAGGAAAATACAGTTGTGTAAGCAAAACATTATACAGTCCTTAGACCTGCATGATGTTATCATTATTATTATAGGATATTTATATAGCCCACATATCAACCCACTAGTGCATGCTCAAGGCGCTGGTATTTTTCCCTTGATCATTGGATGTCAATCTCAACGGCACATCGCATTATCAATCTCAACTTCCTGGGGAGTATACAACTCTTGCAGCCACTAGGCGCACCATGTTATTGTGGCTTTCTCATCCTAACCAGGTACCCATTCACAGCTGGGTTGACTGGGACACATACTAGTAGTCACAGTACTTTGTCCATGTTCACTGCACGTTGCTTTACCCGCAAGTAGGTGTTTGCACGTATTCATGTTGTCACCATCTGGTCAAATACCAACGTATTTGTGGGTTCTTTTAAGTGCAGGCATTGTGACAACACTGAAAGAGTCTGCACACAAAGTTGACTCCAAGGTTTTTACACCCGGTCACAGGTGGGCTCAATCCCGACACCTCAACCTCGCTGGATCACTAGCCTGGCACCTTAGCCAGCTCGCCCCATGTTCCCTTAGATTTGATCGAGTGAGTTTTGTTGTTCGTCGCTTTCAGCAATATTCCAGCAATATCATGGCGGGGACACCAGAAGTGGGTGTCACACATTGAATCCATGCTGGTAATTGAACCTGAGCCTTCAGTGTGACGAGCAAGCGTTTTTGTCACTGGGGCGCGCACACACACACTCACACACATCTCCCTTAGATTTAAACACTGATAAGTGTTATGGATTTTCTTGTTATAGAGTTATTCTCGGTATCACAGTGTGTTATTTTGTTTCAGAGAGAGGCCCCATGCTCGAGAAACAGCCAGTTGGGCAGTTGAATGTATCTGTAATTGATTACCAACATAAAACGAGAGAGGACTCCATGGACATAGTGGAGAGAGTGGACAAGAGATATAGTCCACATGATGTCCGAGATATAATTGACAGTGGGCCTTGTAAAAAGATGCGTTACAACGAAGATATTGGTCAAGCTGCATATGGAATTGAACGAAATATGCCAAACAGGTATGAAGACAAAATCACTTATGGTGAAAGTTATCGACAGTGCTAAATTGCATGCCATGGTACAGGAATTATTGAAATAACACAGATTAACTATTTCACAGAGCCGTAATGGCATTCCTGAAGTTTTACAAATAAATACTCACAATGATTCTTTTAATGGTAAATATAAATCATTTGAGCAATTCAAATGATTCAAAACCTATTTTTACCATCCATCAATTTATTTATCGCTGTCACTCCCAATCTCACAGCTTAACATAGTCATGGCCATTTTGAATGCCAGCAGGCATGATATGAAATTACATTTTTGATCTGTCAAGCCATGTCAGTGTCACAGAAGAGAACCATATTAGGCTGTTTACACCCAGTTGCAGTGATGATTAACCTGGTCACATTACTGAAAGTACTCAAACTGATCAGGGGGGTGTTGAAATGAAACTAGTAAGCTGGAAATACACATGGTAAATGATCAACATTTGCATAGATGCCAACCTCTGCAACTTTATCGTAGTCGCCACGAATTTTAGCCTCAATTTATGCCAGGACGATTGCACTAGAATTTCTATGAAATCTGAAGAAAATTCATTGAAATTTGGATATATAGACAAAAACATATATTTTCGTCGATTAAATACATTTTCGCCAAAAAGAGACAAGAAGAATTATGATACTGATAATTTGGAAATCTGCTGGTGATGGTATGTGAAATGAAAGCTTCACTCTTGATTAGTGTCATATTATTTTTCTCAGAGACCATCATGATATTAAGTATTTAGTTGACTACTAATTTTGTGGTCAAAATACTATTTTTGATCCTTGAAACTACTATTTGCAACACTTTGGGTTTGGCATCTCTGCATTTGGTTGCTCTTGGTGCTGTATAACTGTTTTGAGTTTAATTATATCATCAAAAAGTAGGGGAACAGTTATATTCACAAGGGCACACCTAAATTATGTCTGGTGCTCTATGGCACCTTCCGAAAAACAAATATTTTTCTATCCTTGGGTGACTTATAAATTTATGCTCATCTGGACCAAATGTTCAAGTAAGCTTATCATCGCTTGTATGTAAGGTTTTTGTGTTGTTATCCTCAATATACTGGTTTATTTGCTCCAGTTTTCCATTTTGTATCAAGATCCTGGCTGGGATGAACAATCTTGCTAAAATTAGGCCAATGAAGGTCCAGGCTAGAATTGGACTTCAGCAACCCATGCTGGTCATAAGAAATAACAAACAGGATCAAGTGGTCAGGCTCACTGACTAGGTGGATTCGTCTCAACATGTATTGTCTGGCAGAAAATGTTTTGTGACGGTGTTTGGTCACTTTACTCAAAAACTAAAGTACAATGGTTTTCTAAGTAAAATATTGACTCAGTTCAGTATTTGTTACGAGGGAGGCATGCAGAGAGAGGAACAGCTAGGTGTGCTATTGATTCAGTTACCTGTGCTAAGACTTTTTCACACACTGGGTTGTTTCTCTCTCTGCATGCCTCCCTCTGCATGCCTCCCTCGTAACAAATACTGAATTGACAGAGCTCCAGATAAGCTTTTGGCCATGTGGGTATGATACCCATACTTGTGAAACTAAGTGGGTATTTCCAATTTCAAGTGGGTATCTATACTTTTTGATACCCACCATATTTTTATAATCGGGGTATTTATTTCAAATAACAAGTTTAAGAGGTGCAACATTTTTTCATTCGATAATATAGATAATACAAGATCCTCCAGGTTAAAGGTGAATAACAAATAAGAAATATTATGTGCCTTAGTCTACTTCTGTTTTGGTGCCGCGAATAGCTAATGTTACAAGTTCATTTAAGATATCACCGTCAATTGAATCTGATTGTGAAACACAGCACTGGCCTATTAATTCATCTAGCAGCCCTCTAATGAAATAGTTTTCTGTTTGTAGCATAAAAAACTAGATATTTTATTTTGTGTGTGTTTAAACTTTCAACCAGGCTTGCTCGACATTATCAATTGTTTACATTACATGTAGAAAGACAACAGCTATTTGATTGGTCACTATTTATAGATGGGCCCAATCAGTAAAGGTTAACAAACCACGACTGGTATTCTAGCTGTGTTGCGCATCTTAAATGCCTTTTCAATTATTCAAGATTCTTTTAATCACGAAAATTTGGAGATGGAAAAACTTTAGGTTTGTTTCAATTGGCTTGAATTGATACGATACGCAACATGATTTTGATGTATTGGGTAAATATGCATTGTTATTTTGACATAGCGTAAACGTAAATATTTAGTGTTTTTTCATACGCTGGCATTTATTTTTCTTGCGTATTTCAACTTTTCTACAGCGTTATATACGCAAATACGCAGCTTATCTGGAGCTCTGATTGAGTCAATATTTTAATGATAGTTTGTTGAACAACTTTTTTATTATTAAATCATAATTCATGAAATTCAAAATTCACAATGGTAGAACAATTATAATGTATCATGCAAAGTTAAAAAACGATTGTAAAGTGACCAAACACCGTCACGAAGAATTTTCTGCCAGACTATAGCAAATACCTAGACCTATGTTTATGATATCAATCACATGATTGTCTGGTCCAAATTTAGTTCATTACAGACCACCATTATTTTTCAGGGATATTGTTGAGTCTCGTGTTAAACTCAAGCAAACTAAAATACCAACAAAGCTAAAATCCGACCTTAAACTCTTGATGTGACCCCTCTCTACTTGAAGATCTGACAAATCCTGGATAGATACCATACCAAACATACCACCTATAGTGTGTTCTGTTCTGATTTGCTTTTTATTGTACAAATACAAATTTGTTAGTCAAAGTTGTAAGGAAATGAGGAGGAGTTGTTTTCAAAAGATGTTTTATGGCTGAAAGACAGTCACATATTTCATTTAGATTTGGCAGTCTTGATTCATTTGACAAAATCACTGATATTGAGCTAGTGAGTTTAGTTTTACGCCACTTTTAGCAATATTCCAGCAATATCACGGCGGGGGACACCACAAATGGGCTTCACACATAGTGCCCATGTGGGTATAGTATTGAGCAAAGGTAATTTGTAAATCTAATTTGAATGGGATTGCAGTCACGGAATGATTCTCTGAATTGTTTGAATTAGAAATTTTTCAAATCTACACTTTTTCAGATTTCTTAGTGTGACACCTCAAAATGCTGGGAGTGGTGTTGTGATACGTTCCATCTTGAAAAAAAGCAAGAACAAGAGTGAAGACTGGGGTAGGGAAGAGAAGAGTAGGGAAGATGGAAGACATGATGACACCCGTATAACACATGCAGCTCAAGTATTTGGCCCCTCATGCCAGGGAAACACGCCAGAGAACACTCAAAGAGATAGACTTGCTCCTACATCAACTCAAGACGAGGACTGTAGGCTTAGATCATTTCCGTATTCAGAAAGGCAATCTCCTCTGAGGTCTGTGGAGGGGAGATCTTCATTTGGAAGGTCACCTGATCATCAGTCTCATTTTTGTAGAGAAGATAATTGGACACCAATGAGTGACAATCAGAGAGATTCATACTTGTACACTCCCGACAGGGGTAATCTAGATGAAAGAGAGTTGTTTGTTGGGAGTTACAGGGACGAGAGGAGCTCACCTGGCGGGTGGAATAGCAGACAGTCACCCAGTCGAAGATCACTAGATAGAAGATATGATAGACAGTCACCCAGTCGAAGATCACTTGACAGAAGAGATGATAGAGTGTCACCCAATCGAAGATCACTAGACAGAACTGATAATAGACAGTCACCCAGTCGAAGATCACTAGACAAAATAGATGATAGACAGTCACCCAGTCGAAGATCACTAGACAGAAGACATGATAGACAGTCACCCACTCGGCGATCACTAGATAGAAGAGATGATAGACAGTCACCCACTCGGCGATCACTAGACAGAAGACATGATAGACAGTCACCCAGGCAAGTATCACTCAACAGAAGGGATGATAGACAGTCACCCAGTCGGAGATCACTAGACAGAAGAGATGATAGACAGTCACCCAGTCGGAGATCACCAGACAGAAGACATGATAGACAGTCACCCAGGCGAGAATCACTCAACAGAAGGGATGATAGACAGTCACCCAGTCGAAGATCACTAGACAAAAGAGATGATAGACAGTCACCCAGTCGAAGATCACTAGACAGTAGACATGATAGACAGTCACCCAGGCAACAATCACTCAACAGAAGGGATGATAGACAGTCACCCAGTAGAAGATCACTAGACAGAAGAGATGATAGACAGTCACCCACTCGGCGATCACTAGACAGAAGACATGATAGACAGTCACCCAGGAGAAGATCACTAGACAGAAGAGATGATAGACAGTCACCCACTCGGCGATCACTAGACAGAAGACATGATAGACAGTCACCCAGGCGAGAATCACTCAACAGAAGGGATGATAGACAGTCACCCAGTCGAAGATCACTAGACAGAAGAGACACTATACAGTCACCTAGTTGGAGATCACATGAAAGACATTCACCCAGTTGGAGATCACATGATAGAAGAAATGATAGACTGTCTCCCAGTCGAAGATCACCCAACAGAAGAGATGGCAGACTGTCACCCAGTCGCGGATTAGGTTACAGAAGAGGGGCTAGACAGTCACCCAGTCGAAGATCTCAGGACAGAGGAGATGAAATACAGTCACCCGATTGGATATCACATGATGGACAGTCACCCAATTGCAGATCATTTGATAGAAGAGAGGATAGACAGTTGTCCAGTCGAAGATCACGTGACAGAAATGAGGATAGACAGTCACCCAGTTTAAGATCACCCGACAGAAGACACAATAGACAGTCGCCCAGTCAAAGATCACTTGACAGAAGAGACGATAGACTTTCACCCAGTTTAAGGTCACGTGACAGAAGGGACAATAGACAGTCACCCAGTCGAGGATCACACGACAGAAGAGACGATAGACTTTCACCCAGTTTAAGGTCACGCGACAGATATGAGGGTAGACAGTCACCCAGTCGTAGATCACACGACAGAAGAGACGATAGATTTTCGCCCAGTCGAAGATCATATGACAGAAGAGATGACAGACAATCTCCAATTAGAGGTTACAGAGATGACTGGCCAGATAGACGAGATATGGGCCACTCTCCCTATGAAGACTTTTTAAGTGAAAGGCCAAGAAAGTCCCCTAATAGAAGTTTTAGAGATGATTTTTCACCTGATAGAATTTCTTTGGATGACAGAAGGACACATGACAGCTGTCGAGGAGACAGACATTCTCCGATCAGGGTGAGCAGAGATGAAAGACGTTCACCCAGCAGAAGATTGAGAGAACCGAGCCGATCTTCAAGAATGTTTAGGAAGTATTCAAGCCCTCACAGCTCACCGCCCCAGACACAAGAGCAGGGACAGGGACCAGTCAGACAGAGGACGTGCATTGTTTGATGACATATGGATATGTACTGGGGTATGTCAGGTTGTATTTTTGAATGACATTTACAAGTTGCATTCGTAACTACTCGCCTCTTTCTGTAACCCACAAGAAGACTCATACCGCTATCGTACGCCATTATTGCCAAGAATCGTGGCAAACCAATCAAATCACACGTAGTAAAACACATTTTGAAAATGGCATGAAAATGGCGGGCACCATTGAACTTTGAAACTTCGCTAAACTATGCAAAGCACAATTTAAACATAGACATTGAGCTAAAGGATCAGCAACTTTAAACACTGAAACATATTTACAAAGGGAATTACTGTATTGCCCACAAGATATAGGATATTCTAGGAGCCATGTTTGAAAATTGAGAGTTATCTTTCCTTGGTAATAGTACTAGACTATTTTCATCCCCATGCCTGTTTGCACTTAGACTGGGCCTAGTCCTAAACATGGCCACGAGAGGGGTACAAGACGCCATCTAATCCGGCTTGCCGGAATGACACGAGTAGTTACGAATGTTACAAGTTGGTTTGTAAAACAGAGGGGATAATTCTATGTATTTGCAACTACTTTGTTACAGTCAATGCAACGTTTCAGGGTAGACTCTAACATTGTTATCAAACTTTGAAGTGATGTACAGGAATGACAAATAGGAAGGCTATTGACTGTTGGTTTGAGTACCAGATTTGCACAGATTGTAACGTGTATTTCGTCAATACCTTTTTCTACGATTTCAACTAAGGGCTGTATCACATAAAGCTTCTCTCCATGAGAGCTTGCACCCATTGATGTGAATAAAATACTTATTACATCAGCATTTTGGTTTAAGTCAGTCTAAGTAAACCTTAGGCTCAGTATTATTCGTAACACTGCTTATACAGAGTCTAACAAACCCTAGTAGAAGGTTGAGTCAGCTAACCTTTTGCATTGACCAATCAGAACACAGCTTACCAAATCGCTAAAGTTGACATTCACACATACCTTTTGAACTTTTACATCGAAAAAGTTTGTACCCGAGCAAATCTGAATGCTATTTTTCGTAATATCGCTTCCGAGTGATGCACATGGAGCATGCTACAACAGTGAGTAAACAGTCGCTGAAAATTATCGTTTTTGTCAATATTCAAGGATGTCAGCTTGCGGAAATGTTAGCTAATGGTAACCATGTCATCAGAAAGCCCTTAGCGGATATACTGCAGGTCAAATATCTGTGTTTTATCCGGATTTTCGTTTGTTGAGAGATCAGTGCCAGTGACTGGGGAACTTTGTAAGTCCCGCCAAACCGCCAAACAGTAGCCATTGTCTGATTGGTTAAAGAACCACTAAACTTTGTTTTTTGTTACTCTTTTAACCATTACATATGAAAGATTTGTTGTTAGTCTTATGCGGAACACCAAATTTATTCTTTAAAAACTTGTGGTTAATTAATACCGAGCGATTAAAAGTCGCTTCTTCTGCTTCCCTCTCGCCCGCCAACGAAACCACAGACAGGTTACGTAACTCTGTCGCCAGAGCACTGCAGTGACGTCATATGAGGAACGATTTTCAGTTAGTTGTATAGAAAGTGTGTAGCACGCTCATCATTTTGATGATTTCTCAACATCAACGACGACATGCCGAATCGCTGCTTTGTCGCCAATTGCTCCTAGGGTCGGGCGATGGTGTCACCATGCACAGATTTCCACAGGACCCCGCGAGTTCGTGCTAAATGGGTTATGTTTGTGAGTGCGGCGAAGCGTTGTGGAAGCCTGAAACGATATCTTACTTGTGTTCAGATCGCTTCACGGAAGTTAAAGAATCAAAACTACTTACTAGTTATAGTAAAATATGTATATGATTGATGACCATATAGATTTTCCATAACACAACTTGTAACATAACGATTTCTTCCTCGAAGTGAGGTTGTGGTCGGCTAACAATAATATTGTAAGTAGTATTATATTGACACCCACCTCGCTGCCAGGAGAGAAATTGTTATGTTCTATACTATGTCATGCAAAATCCTATTGGCAATCAATAAAATACATATTTTACTACCAGTAGAAAGTAGTTTTGATTTTAGAACTCGGTGAAAACAAACCTAAATAGCATTTATCCACAGACTGGCTGGATGTTCCCGACAGGGCTTCATTTTGAAAATCGTGAAAGTCTGTTAGAATTAATGAGATTATAGTTTGTTTTCATCAAGTTAGAAAATCAAAACTACTTTCTACTGTGAGTTAAATATGTATTGGAATCATAACCAAAAGGATTTTGCATGACACAACTTATAACATAACGATTTCTTCCACGGAAGCCAGGTGGGGGTCGAAGTCACAATACTGCGCCGATAAATTTCTTGCTACATTCACATGGTGAATGTCCACTCACCAGTATGTAGATACTAGTCAATGTGCCTTTATATTTGGTCTTATAATCCTAATTAGTTTATTATCATACTTTTATGCATTTTGAAACTAAATAAAAAGCTGACGATCTGCTGATACTTATAGTGAATTTATAACAGAACTGTAATATCTAGACATTTTATAGTTTGCCAGTGTGAATCATAATTCGCACACACACCCTAGTGTATGTTGTCTGTCTCATTACACTTCACGGCGAAAACAATGATTCTGTTGAATACTACGACAAATGAATAAAAAACAAAATGCAAATATTAAAACTAAAACAGATTAAAGTTATAGGAACAATATCAGGCCATTACCTTGTTTGAGGAATGTGTCCATTAATATCCACAAAACTGTTCCAAATGATGTGTCTTTTAACAGTTTAATATACGAAAAAGTGATAAATCTTTTCAGGTATTGGTGTATAGTCTCATTGGTCACCCAAGATAGCACACCTGGCAACTAATTGCATAATGTCCGCCTTTCATTAAAAACAGTAATTTAGTTAGCCAATAATGGGCAATCAATCAATGTATTGCCGGTTAATCCTTTGAAAGAAGGACGTTGTTTTTACGCAGACACCGACACGGCAGAGTGTATTCAGTATAAATTAGTAAATCTACATACATAAACACTACCTTTTGACAATTCCGCTGTGTAAGATAAAAGTAATTAATCAATCAGCGTGTTATCGGTTATTTCTTTGATCGATGTTTATAATGTTGAATATTTACTCCAGACACAAGAATGGCCAAATGGGAACCTTTGTCGGGTAATCTAAGTGTCTTACCACTAATTATACCTGTTATAAATTCATTAACTGAATTAAGTGAATGATGACAAATAACATGTGTAGGTTCATACCACCTAACACGGGTTACAACAAGGGAGTATTAATTGCTGTATTGCATGTGAAAACTTATGGGCCGACACTGTTTTGAGAATACAAACAGATTTTTACATGACATCATTAAATATCGAGGTAAAAAAACACAGAAATGGGATCAATTTGGATCAGTCATTATACAAATAGGGCCTAACGACACCAATCAATTGTGACAGAATATAGCTTTCATTTTCCACAACAATTATCACGATTTCAGGTTTATACAAGCCTGTAAACAAGATAATTTACCCCCTAAAATGTAGATGAATTCTGCATCAGCCCTCAAAGCTATTCCTCATATGACGTCACAGAGTCGCGCCGCTCTGATTGGTTGAAATTTCGTTCGCGGGTGAGAATTGTGCACTGTTGTCAAAAAGGTCGATTTAAGTCAATTAAAGGTCGAAATGAGTAGTTTTAATGACGGGGTTTCATTTATAACGATGCCAGTTAGTGATTTATGTATTTTTACCCCCTAGGGTTTATGTGACCTTTAAATCCGTTTGGCCGTCTCGCATTTGATTGGACGGTCATAGGTTGCTCAAAGGTTAGCTGATGTGATCTTCTACTGGGATATATTAGACTCAGAATAGCAGTGTAACGAATAATACTGAGCATAAGTTTACTTAGACTGGGTTTAAGTCTTCGTCATTCATTGTGGCTTCAAAAAAAGGAGATTCTTAGAGAGTTCACTGAAATAATACAAACAATTGTTGATCTTTGATTTATTGTTTGACTGAACGTTTTCAGTGTGGATTGCAGAACCATAAAGCCAGAGTACAGTGTTACAGATGTTTTAAAACGAGAGGTAAGTTGCTACTCTTATTCTCACTGTAACAAGCCAGAATAGAACTGGGCCTAGATTTTCAAGCTCTCTTAGCGCTAAGATAGTCATAAGTTAATGTTATTGTATGGCACTTACGACTATCTTAGTGCTAAGAGAGCTTCGAAAATCTAGGCCCTGGTCTTCAGCAACTACGCTTGTTGTTAGAGGACGACAGAATTGATTGGATAGTTCGGCCTGCTGATTTGGTTGATGCATGTCACTGCCAGCTTGATGATTGTGATATGATCTAAATCAGTTGTTTGTCTGGTCCAGTCTCAATTAATTAGAAGTAGGGGTGAAACGGTATACCGCAGTATTTAGCCTTCGATTCGGTGTACTGTAAAGCAATCCAAAATTTGGTATTTTCTGCTTTTGTGCCGTCATTTTATTAACCTTTTTAAACCATTTCTAAAGTGTCTAAAAATCGTATCAGTTTGCCAAAATCTATGAGAAATCAGGGCCTGGTTTTCCCTGCCATGATATAGCTGGAATATTGCTAAAAGCTGAGTAAAACCCAACTCACTCATTCAATATTTAAACTGTGTGTTTTGTTATTGTGAGAGCAGCAATGATAGTGTCAGTGTCCACTTCTCATGTTGCTAAATTCTGCAACCCAAATATTAGATAATAAACTATTTTTCTTTTCCTTTTTTTCAGACAAGACAACGGAAGCAGGCCCATACAAGGGCACGTTTTATCCTCCTAGGGTAAGTAAGCGTTAGAAAACAGACTATATATCCTCAGCAATGTATGCTTCTTCTAAGAGGCTACGTAGTGGATCCAGAGGTCAAAGATGATTGCCAGTGTGACATCATACCTAACGGAGATCGATGTGCACAATATCCACCTGTAGTCACTGAAATGTCGGAGTTAATTACACCGCCTCCCGTGGTGTAGTGGTTAGAGCGTCCGCCTGGAGAGCGGAAGGTCGCGGGTTCGATCCCTGATCACGTCACACCAAAAGACGTTAAAATATGGTACTTGTTGGTCCCTGCCTGGCACTCGGACATAATTGGTACAACAAGGACTGGTCGGCTCGGAGTCAGTATAATGTGTCTGAGTGGGGTATTCATGCTTCACTGCGGCATGGTATCTCAGTGAGCTAGCACTATAAAACCAGCTTCAGTCTGGGCTAGTACAAGCAGCCGCACATACACATACCCCACGCATGCACGTCGTCATATGAGCAAAATATTCTCAAGCACGACGTTAAACCCAATTTCACCTCACCTCACCTCTGAGTTAATTACCATCATTCTAGGTGGCTGTCTTTCTGCTGGAATATTGTGTTTAAACAACAAATGAAGGGTGTTTCATGTTTATATGTCTGTTTTCAAAGCCACTTCAGTATTTATGATTCCCACTGGTCTGTCCTTTCTCCATTTTTTACAAACATATAGAGGATATTTATATGAGTGCTCATGTCATACTGTGTGATTTACGACACAAGTGTCTAAATGGTGGTATCTCCCGAGCGAGAGCGAGGGATGTACTGATATTTAGGCACGAGTGTCGTAAACATAGTATGATATGGGCACGAATATGATATTCTGTTTATTACCAAAGTCGTCAAATTGAGGAAAATAAACCCATATCTACTTTCAAACATAGGCTGGCTACACGCTGTCTCCACATTTAGAACTTAACGTCACAGAAGAAACGTGATGTCATAGCATTGTTCATGACTTCACGTCACCTTGACAAAGTGATATTTTGCCCTACGGCATCGTAGGGTACCTTCACATGGGTACCTTCAGCTGAGACATAATTTTATTTTCACCATAGATCTGTTTACGATACATAGAGGATACTAAACGCTCTTCCATGTAATACCATTTATTTTTCCTTATCCTGACTCATGCTTACGGAACTTTGATTTCTGCTCCTGTGCGACCAGTGCGACTGTCAGGTGATTCCTGTATATCTCCCGGTGCTAGAGAACGTGCGAGCAGACACGCTCTCTCACCGGATCCTGGCCCCGCATGAGTGAATGCTCGATCTGCAGATATGCAGATATTCGGAGTTATCTCCCAGTTGTACAGATCGTTCCAGGTGGATCTGTTTGCATCCGGCGGGACGAATCAGATATCCGTGTTCTGCTCTCGAATACTGGACCAGAGGGCGTTGGCTTCCTGCTGGATTGGACGGGCAAGGTACTGTGGGCGTTTTCCGCCACTACCTCTCATTCCCCGGGTCCTCTCCCAGCTGTCCACATAGCCAGCTTGGCTACTTGTGCTTCTGGCACCGCTTTGGCCGTCACAGAGCTGGTTTCGGTAATTCTCAGGTTTCTGGCTCAGCCTCCTGTTCTATTACCCTTAAGACCGGACATTCTCACTCAGAACGGCTCACCACACCCCAGTCCAAGGATTCAGTAGGTGGCTTGGCCTCTGTCAGGTCTAGCCTCGAGGTACGCGGAATTCCTGCAGCAGTTGCAGACACAATTCTAGGCATCGAGGTGGGATTCAACAAACGTTCAGTACGAGGATAGGTGGTCCCGCTATGCACGCTGATGTTCAGATAGGGGAATTGCAGATCCCTTTTCTGCGGATTTAGTCCGAGTTTTGGAGTTTCTGCAGTTTCGTTTGGAAGAAGGTTTGGCGGCTTTGACCATTTGTGGCTACTCCACCGCTGTTACCACCTGTCATACCCCTGTCGATGGTGCTCTTCTGGGGCAACACCCTCTTATGCAGCGCTTCTTAGCTGGCGTGGATCGAGTTCGACCTGCTCTCAGGCGTACCAGCCCACCTTGGGATTTGTCAATCGTGCTAGATTGGCTGTCCGGTCCTACTTTCTCATGTCTATCGGCTATTTCCATTCAGCTGTTAACATGGAAGGCCATGTTTCTGGTGGCGGTGACATCTGGGATAAGGGTTGGTGATTTACATGCCATGTCTGCAGTCCCGGCGCTGACTGTGTTCCATCCAGATCACGTCAGCATTCGCCTCCCGGACAGTTACACGTCCGAAGATCGATCACGCTTTCCATGTGACAGCTCCTATCGAACTTCCTACTCTTACCCAGCCTTCCACATCGGGGGCCTCTGCAACGAGCACTCGACCGTTGGATATCCGTAAAATACTCAAGGTCTATATCAAACGAACACTAGGTATCCGTACGGGTACCCAGCTGTTCTGCTGTTATGGTGGTGGGAAGGCTGGAACTCCTGCCAGCAAACAGACACCTTCTCGCTGGCATGTGTCGGTCATTTGTGCTGCTTATCAGGCTAAGGAGCACTTTTATACGGAGCACTACTGTCCAACCAACATTAGAATGAGGTGCGCGAAAGACGCGTTTGTGAAAGGAGAGTGGGGAGCGTGCCGTGAACTGATCCACTACCCACTCAAAGGGGGAACAGGTGTGAAAACTTCGCGCACATGATTTTTGTGATCCTTGCAGTAATCCTTTTCTACGCAATGATTCGGAAGCGTCGTGTTTCTACTCGAGCTTTTGTATACTAGTATCTTGTAAAGTGGACTGTTAAAAGAGTATAGTATGCCCCTATTTCCAACAGCACACATAGTGCACTCAAAAAAGCCAGCGATGCTTCTGGTATATCTGTCAGTACCTTGCGCAAAATAAATGACGAAGGTAAATGCGTTCCCACGATGGGTACCAGTAAGTTCACAAACCCAGGGAAAGTGCGTACTCGTACCGAAGGGAAAATTGAACTTGATGATTTTGATAAATGCGCATTTCGCCAGTACATTCAACACTGCTACACAGTAACCAAGACAATGCCAACACTGACAAGCATTATGAAAATGGCTACTGATTACTTGGGGTATACAGGGAGTAAAGAAACAATGCGTAAATGTTTAAGAAAAATTGGTTTCAAATGGCAGAAAACTTGTTCAGACAGACAGGTCCTAATGGAGCGAAAAGACATTGCTGCATGGCGTTTGAGATATCTCAGAATGATTCGCTAGTACCATAAAGAAAACCGTCCAATGGTGTACATCGACGAAACATGGGTACACGCCCATCACACAGTATCAAAATGTTGGCAAACTGATGAGGGGGGAGCAGTTGGCGGTGTTCGGGTACCATCGGGGACAGGTCCAAGATAAATTATAGTCCATGCTGGTACATGTGAGGGGTTCATTCCTAATGCTTCTTTGATATTTAAAGCCAAACAAAAGAGTGGTGATTACCATGACGAAATGAATTTCAACAATTTCTCTAAGTGGTTGCAAGAAAAATTCTGCCCCCAAACTCAGTAGTTATAATGGACAATGCCCCTTACCATAGCAAACAAATAGACAAAGCTCCAACAACTGCCAATCAGAAAGATGAAATCAAATCGTGGATACAAAGGCATGATATACCTTTTAGACATTCAATGTTGAAGGCTGAATAGCTTGCACTTGTGAAATCATGTCCGCGCGACCCCGTTTATCATGTCGATGAAATTCTGACAACCCATGGGCATACTGTTCTCCGATTACCTCCTTATCACGCTGATTTCAATGCCATAGAATTAATTTGGGCGAATTTGAAAAATTGGATTGGGTCCCAGAATTTAGATTTCAAAATTTCTTCTGTACAGAGGGCTTGCGAAGAATGATTGTCATCTATTGGCCAGAAGGAATGGTCAGATTGTTTCAGACATGTGATGGAAATTGAGGATTGTTACTGGCATCGAGAAATTGCCCTAGAGGATGAAATCGAAAAACTTGTCATCGAACTTGGCGTCGATACTGTTGACATTGATATCAGTGATATTGAGGACGAGTAGCAGATTCAAGAGACTTGCATGTAGCAAATAGCAGATAAACTACCACTGAGCGATCAAATTACTAAGTTTTGTTTGTTTTATTTATTAGTACCCCGTGTTGAATTTACATAACATTATTTCATTCCCCTCGAGGACAGCACAAACGTATTATCCATAAAATATTCACACACAGAGAACCTAGGCTAGGACAGACATTAACCTATTGGTATTTTTTTTTTATCGTTAAACAAACAAAAAATTCGAGTGTTGTATTGGGTTGTGTATGGAAATAGTCAACCGCAAAATAGCAAATAGAACCCGTTCCAGAAGAGCGAGAGTAGACTGACACGCTTCACAGCAGTTTATCGCTTTACATACCCTCGGCCCCTTAATGGTAACATGGACTGCACCGCTATTCAGATTCACGGGTTCAAATGACAGGTCAGCATTATTCTTAAGTTAGTCTCACAGTATCAGCTTGATACACATTCCCATGATCGAGCGCGCTTTTGCCGATCTGTTCTCTCCAGTGGACAGTGTCCTGCCACCCTGACCGAGTGAATCTTGGTTATTTGGTTTTTGTGACGCTGAGTTCAATTGTTGTGTTAATTGACATATCCGTTGTTGAATTCTACGACAACTTTCAATTTCTCTGATGAGTTATTCGGTTGTGAGTTGTGGTTTCCCCCTTTCGGTGCTCTCTAGAGATTTCACTAAGTGGGCGGGGTTTTCATTACACCCTATGTGATGTGTTTTTATTGCTTAACATGTTGAGGTCGGTCCTCAGTACATTTCCTCCCTGTCGGGTCACCATCCATAAAGCCTCTCGTGGAAGCTTCGGGACACGTGACAGGTGAGTGTTATGGCGTAAGTACCTTTTCGTTTACGTGATCGCTATTTATTTGTACTGTGACAGAATTCCGTCCTCCCTAGCCTCCGGTCTTTGGGAGTCTGTGTTAATGCATATATGTACCCCAAGGACGATCTCTATGAAAAAGAATTAGATAAACCTATAGATGTTTCCAATTCTTTGAAGAGAATCGTCCTTGGGGTATTCATCGACACCCTTGCTGTGTGAGGGCTGCAAACGTCGATGGCGTTGTTGACTTGCCAAAATTGGCCCCAGACATGGCCTTTGGCAGTGGATTCCAGCAGCCCGAAGACGACGCCTAATCGTATCGCTTGGCACTGCTCCCATTGACCCATGAACTAAGGCTGCTGTTACTGTTGCTGCTTGGGTTCGGTTCCTTAGATGAGTGACCCGGTGTAGCAGGCCATTTCTTCCCTGGTCTAAACTTTCCCCGGGGAGAATCTGGCCTAGGCCAAACTTTCCCCGGGGAAGTTTTGTCCTAGGATATTCTTACCCCGGGGAAAGTTTGGGCAAGACTAAAGTTTCCCCCCCTAGGCCAAAGTTTCCCCCCTGTTTAAACTTGGATATGTTGTTCTGTGTTCTATGAAAAGGGTGGAGATTCTGGTCTAGCTAGGCTACTTCTTCCCCACCATTGTTTTTATATCAAAAGGGGCAGATTCTGGCCTAGCAAGGCTACTTCCTCCCCACCCTTGCTCTTATATCAAAAGGGGGAGAACATGTTATTACAAACATCAAACCAACAGTAGTTTTGACTTAAAATTTGGTACACATTTTTGCCAAATAGTCCATTCTTGCCTCTGATTTGGGTTAGTGATTTGAATGCATAAACGTTTAAACGGCATATATCTCTAAATCCATCCTGCAACCTCTGTTTGCTGATGACGTTGAGCAAGTTGTGTAATGGTGGTAAGATGACAGCCCAATTGTCTAGCTACAGCAGTTGCAGAGCTACCTCCGTGCAACTTTCCAATGGCCATTCCCCTCTGCTCAGTCGTTAGTCTAGGCATCGTTTGTGTGGCGTGTACACCTCCTATCGTCAATACTGAACTGTTTTCTGACACAAACCTTTATAAAGGATACCTCAGAGTGAAATGCATGCCTTCCACCCAGAACCATCGATGCATGTGCTAAAATTATGGTTTTGCTGCACTGTTGGTGTGTATGTGCGCATGAATGGTCTAATGGACATCAAATTGCATGACATCATCTCATCTGGGATCATTACGTCACTTTACCATGAACGTTCCATAAACCTGACCGCTTACCTACATGAGATTTCAGTTTTTCGAAACTTGCATTTCTTTTGCTGTTCAGTATATGTACTGTAAGGACGATTCTCTTCAAAGAATTGGAAACCTCTACAGGTTTATCATAAAAATTACATTAATAAACAAGTTAATGATCTGGTATCAAACGAGCAAAAGCAAGTGTGGTTCTAAATCTTTTATGAGTTTTATTAAAAATGGTATTTCACGAAAGCGAGTTTAGTATTCTGTTTATTACCCTCCAACATAAATTGATAGAAACTGCCTACAGTGTGATGACTCTCAGCTTTCCGTGAGACAAGCAAAGTCTAATACCATTGTGACAGAGGTATTAGCATTGTGACGTCATAACTGTAAACCATCATGACGATATAAGTCCGGCATCACGCGATGTTATTACACTGCTGTGATATTGCTGGAATATTGCTAAAAGTGCCATAAAACTCACTCACTAAACACCTTACCAAAGTAGTTGACAAAGAAAACTTATGCACTTTTTCTGAATGCATTTATTATGATATTCATGTAATATGTTGATTATAGGCTACCCAGCCCGTGGACACCCATGAAAATGTCAGGAAGAGAATCCGTGTGTCCAACTTACCCTTGTCTGTGTCAGCTGAGGAGATGTTTAACGTGTTTAGTGAATGTGGAAAGATTGTCTACGCCAACATTGTCATCGATCCAGCGACTAAATGGTAAGTCTGGAGATGTCATATGGCTTGGAGGGGCGGTGGGGTAGCCCAGTGGTTGAAGCTTTAGTTCGTCAAGCCAAAGGCCTGGGTTCGATTCCCCACATAGGTACAAAGTGTGAAGCCCATTTCTGGTGTACCCATCAGCAATATTGCTCACGCAGTCACTCACTCACTCATATGGCTTGGAGGGAGATCTGTCCACTTAAGCAGACCCGAGACGTTCATCAGGGGTTCAATTCCACTTATCGGTTTACATCATCAAACTGATATATTTTCTGAAAATTTTTAATAGGGGAAAGGCACCAGTTAACCAACTACATCATATGCATTCCATTGTAATAAACCAGTTTTAAGGCATGATCTGGAAGGGAACAGGTCAAAAGGGCCGCGTGACAAAAGGGCCCCAAAACGGAAAAGTCAAAAGGGCCGCAAGAAAATCAAAAATGCCGCAAACCCCTAGTCAACAGGGCCGCATCAAACAGTCAAAAGGGCATCAGACCCCTAGTCAAAAGTTCCCCATACAAAAAAATAATACTATCTTTTTTTTTTAAATGTATTATAGTAAAAGGTTATGTATCTATACTATGTATACTTTATACATACTGGTTCTGTTTTTAAAAAGATGTTTTTTCAACATTTGAAAGAAAATGATGTATGTGATGGTTATTATTTCATTTGAGTAACAAAACACTTATCATTTATGATTATGACAAATACTTTGGCAGAGAAATAAACAATCTATCTGTCTCTATCAGCAAATGCCAAAATTAGGTGGCATGCTTTTTCTTCCTCACTTTATTGATTATGGGAAATCTTATTATATAATAGGACTAACAAAGACATGGCTTCACCAATTTGACTTGTCAACATATTTTACAGATTTAAAGATGTTATTAAAATTTCGGCAATCAGAATGGTCGGTATGCAGGTGGTATAACGGCTTTAGTTAGAAATTCTATTGATAAATGTGTAACACCCTTAAATATGTCACATATAGGTATGTTCCTTCAACATAATCAAGAAATATTTGGTATTGACAATGATATCTTATATTTTTGTGTATATGTCCTCACAATATTCAAAATATTATGATAATGTAATTGAACATAATGGGACAATTCAGCTTTAGCATCTAACTGTTGAACACCTTGAATGTTTTACTTCAGATCCAGTTATATTGATTGGTGGTGAGTTTAATGCAAGGTCGGGTAATTTACAGGAGAGCATTCCTGATTTTGATGACAGTAGAAGCAGTGATTTTGAATTTGTTTAAAACAGTTGTGACTCAACAGCATACAATATTTTTGTATTAAATGCTCTTATTCAAACACATTTGTCTAAACGGAAAAGTAGATTCTATGTAGCATTTATAGATTTCTGTAAAGCCTTCGACTCTACTGATAGAAAACGTTTAATTATATCAGTAAATAAGATAGGGTTATCAGGAAACATTTGAGTGCATTATGGGCTACCTGTCAAGAGTGAAAAATACAATGTGGTACTATTGTTAAATGCATTTCTCTGCCGAAGTATATGCCATAAATTCTCATAATCTGAAATGATTTTGTTGCTTAAATGAACACAATACTCTAAAATATTCTGACAGTATTCACTGAAGAGCATAGAAACCTCAGGGATTGGTGACAGCTTACACGATTGTCAAAACAAATACGGCATCAAAGGGATATATTGTGTATGTGTTTTCGTGTAATATTTTGTTTCTTACAGGTGTGGGCTACCTATAAAAAGAGTGAAAAATAAAATGTGGTACTATTGTTAAATGCATTTTGATGTATGGAACTTCTGTCTAGAATCTTTCCTATTCATGTGAATAAACCTTTTTAAAAGTAATTTTTATAAAGTTATCACCTTTCACTAAGTAAGTGTTTTAAGTATTACACTTTTTAGGTCCAAATTACACTTTTGACCTCCAGTATTCCAAAATAGAGTTGGCATCTTTGCATCTATTCGTGGTCATCATTTTCTTTCCAATGTTGAATAAATATCTTTTTAGAAACAGAACTAGTATGTGTAAAGTGTACATTGTATACTTTTAAAAAAAGATGTTATTTTATTTATATGGGTCCCTTTTGACTAAGGGTCTCAGGCCCTTTTGACTTTTTGATGCGGCCCTTTTGACTTTTTGATGTGTTTTGTATGTAGTCCCACTTTTATGTGGGACTACACTAGTTCGGACCTCTTGCACTGGCTCAGCAGCTTACATCGGCCACCAATGTAGATGAGGGACAGATCCGCTTGCGTGTTACTGCTTCCTTCTATATACGGAACAAAGTTGAACAGAATCTCAATCTTTGTTCTCATCTTATGGGTTTAAGAACTACTTCACTTGGCTTCCATACCAAGGCATCGAAATAGGTAGATGGACCTGAGACACAATCAGTATGACGATGCAGAGGTGTTCAACATTCATGTTTACTGTCCCCTACACCACAGAGCAATTATGTCAGTGAGGTGTGACACTCCCAAATTCCAGTGGATTTCGTTGCGTTCTGCCTCCTAAAGTTGCCGGGCACATCCTTTGACTAAGCTTAGGCAAAGGAGTGAGGGTCAATTTGATGCTGTCCTGGAACTGAACGTTAAAACTTGGAGTTGCTGAGTTGTACTTCTCTTTCACCCGCCTCTGGTTGGTGTCTGTGGAGGTCTTCTCGAACCGGGGGCTGGCCCAATTATTGTCAAAAGACTTTAATTTACGGAACCAAATTAAGTTAAGTAAGCCAAGGAGTTCAGGAGAACTCATCACAAGCATATGAGTTGCACTAGTCGTAACAGGCCTCCCTTGTGCATCGCTATCTACGGTTGTTACCAGTCTACACAGTTCCTGCTGTTCGCACTGTCAAGACCTAGGGCATCTGCGTCCCACCATGGGATAAGTACATACCATGAAATAGGATAACTTTAAAAATTTGGAAATTTTAAATATAAATTGTATATTTATATACTTATCCTATCTCACATGACGGATTCCCGCCCATCCTCCCCGCTATGCAGATTCTCCAAGGTTGATATTCCAGTGGCTCCAAGAATGAGAATGATGATTTGGAGATAGTCACGTGGGTAGTTAGTGTGACGTGCTGCATGCTTTGCATGACAACTAGGAAGCTGTCTTATAATGAGGGTAGCATGGAGTGCTTGGGCGGATGGACAAGAGAGGCCTTGGAAGAAAAGTTTACATCGTTCCACTCAGTGTTGAAAAAGAGAGAGAAGTGCATACCGAGAGATAGGATAAGTATATAAATATACAATTTATAGTTAAAATTTCCAAAACTCACTCCTTCACTATTTGTTTCCATTTACACACTGTCATTTAAGGCTGCTTTTTAATTTTTCATTTGAGTTTGTTTAGAAATGTGTCAATTAAATGCATGGAACTTACTCTCAGCTGAATGACTCAGGTCACATTGTTCTATTGAATCAGGTCGAAAGGTTTCGGCTATGTGTCCTTCAACACGGAAAGCGAGGCCGCCTACGCTGCCACAAGGACTTACAGGCTGATAGGGAGTTTTATTTATTGTAGCCGTGTGAAGTTTACGGAGGTGAGTTACCATGGCCTCCGAAGTGGCCAATACACCCAGCATAGTCTGAAGTATCAGCTTTGGATTGATACATACCAATACACTATGAAAACACATTATCACCTTGAACTTACAGGACGTGAGATGCATTTCACGTGCTCATGTTCATCTCAAAACAACACCAAACAAGATTCAAACATGGATGATGATATTGTTGTTTGATTTTTCTAAATATACAGAACAACTTATTTATTTGATTCAAGTGGTCATTTTGCCAAATATTACAAAAACTTGAATATGTGTTTTCAAGGTGTGTGGGTATATGATGAAAAAAGAGGTAAGTAACCATGCTTATTCCGTAAGAATGACTTGAAACATAGTACGATGGTACCAATTAGGTTCTAGAATGGAGGAGACCTTGTTTGTCCAATTGGTGATGGTCTTCAAGGAACATCGAGGATTCAAAACAAAATTTGAATTCGAAAATTGAGAAAAGCATGTTATTATTTTTTTTAATTGTTTGGGTTATGTTTTGTTGTGTTTTTTTTCAAATTTGGAATTTCAAAGATTTTGATGCATTTGGAATTTTTTTCTTTCTATTTGCTGCTGACTTCTGGCCAAATATTTTCCTCTAGAATGAATCCCTGATATTGTTGCTAAAGAACAGATATTCACAGAGATTGAAAGTGAAATAGTTATTTGTCCCCTAGCAGACCTAACCCAGTTATTTGGAGGGAGACTTAGCTTGGTTTACTGTGCTGGGTCACTGTGTGTAGTGACTGACTAATGGAAGACACAGCATGAAGTTAGGGAAACCTTTATAGACACTGAGTCCTTGAAGGCTCTAATGGTTGGCTTACTCACTAGATTATATACACAAAGAACTTAGTTAAAGCAGCCCCTGACATATGTTACGATTAAATGAGCCCCGATCCTAACCCTTTGGAGAATATCTTGGACATGATTGGTTGTCGTGTGCAACAAAGGGACCCTCCTGTACAGAACCTGGCCCAATTGGAAGCTGCTTTACATGAGGATTGGCTTAGACTGCCCCTTCAGAGGATCAGGAGGCTGACAGGGGGTATGAGGAGGAGGGTGCTGGCTGCCATCCAGTAACATGGAGGTTACAGTTGGTATTGACCTTGAATCGTGTAAGACACGCAAAATGACATTCACATTCACCAATAAATTCAACATTAACATTCCAGGGCAATACAGGCTTGTACAGACATGGTTTTGTATGAAAATCAGTGTGTGTTTCTAAAATGAGCCATAATCATCATAAAATCAACATAGATTCCAATCATTTTGTTCTTTTTTATGAGTCAAAGGATCATACGGGTCAGAAAAACTCATGTTTTATGTGCGTGTTGAAAACCTGTCATCGCAAAAACACAGGGGTGCTTTATTAAGTTCTTTGTGTATATGATCTAATAAGCCTCTTCCAGCTTGTTCAGACATAAAACTTTTGATGTGTTCCATTGGAGAAATGACAATGTATCCAGCAGTGGCTTTGTCTGAAGATTGATATCACCTTCACCACTGAAATCTTTGGATGTGTACATTGTTGTAACGGGAAGGACTGAGAAAGAAGAATGACATGGCTTGGGAATACCTGGTGTCGTCACTCGTTTCAGTGATGCATTCGTATCATTTTCACCTTTGTTCTTCCTTTTGCGCTCTGTGCAGTCTTTATGGCAGATAATCTTGACAGATGACTCTGGCATTGATGTTACATCTTTATCTGATGAGTTGAATACTCCCCAGGGAGTTGAGCTGGTTAAAAGAATGCCAGAAAAAATACAAAGAAACACTCCAGCGCCTTGAGCAGATAGATAGACAGATAAATATTTTATTAAAGTCTCACCTCACTTAACATGCATCCACTGAAAGTCTGCTAAGGATCACCTCTTTAAAAGCTAATATGTACATTTGTGTGCATCTGTTGAAATAGACGAAGATGAAATGGGTTAAGATATGATTAATAAACAAAAGTCTGTTGTCTTGTGCAACTCAACGCCAACTTGAATAAACAATCAGATCTTCCATCGAAATGTGAGTTTCTTATCAAAACTGAAACAGTTTGGCTGACACTAATGGTGCTGGCAAGGTGATGTTATGGCCTCAGTGCATCTGCCTAATTCTTCAGTCTCTGACACTGATAGGGCTACAGTGCTACTACTGATGTGTTCCCTGGTAATGATATACAACGATTCTGTCACAGTACTTGTAAACACAGATTTGCAATCACATGTCCATTCATTGTGACGCTGAATCCGTGTGTTCTGGGATATATCCCTCGTTATTTGTTGGATGAGTTTTGGATGTCAGACCTTGAGAAGTGTGATCCTGATCTTCCTCAACATTAACTAGAGTGAACTATGTTTATAACGAACATGCTTATAATGAACTGACAGGTGTGACTGCCTGTTGCTGTTAATTTTAGTCGAAATGTTTGTAACAAACTGTGGCCGAAAATTATGGCCTCTTTGAGTTCATTATAACCATAATACACTGAAGATGATCAGTTGTGTGTCTGCCAGTGTTCTTTCAGAGAATCTGCATGTTGTGGACAATATTTTGAGTTTAGGAACATTCATAATTTATGGCTAGGGGGGTTGATGATGATTTTTATGGAGAAACATATACAATGTGAACGACACCCCCTAAAATTTATCTACAAGCAGGTGCGGATACTGTTTTTTGAGAAAGCTGGAGTGTGCAGTTCAGAAAGAGGTTGCACAGTTCATTTTCACCCTTTTTCTCGAGAGTTTCAATGGTCATTTAATAAACTTTCAGTACAAAAAGAATGGGGGGTGGTGTGTGTGTGCATGCGTGCTCCCTGCATCCCCCCTCTGGATCTGCCTATGCAAAGTAAGTGACCCCAGAACAAAATGGATGATCCCCCTTAAAATCATCATCACCCCTAGACATAAATTATGAACGGTCGGGTCCCTTGCACCCACTGGGCAACTGGTATTAGTGACTTTGTATTTATTCATCAATGAATGTGTTTTGATTGGTGGTGTATCAGTACTGTGAACCATGGGGAACAGACCATTTTCTCCTGTTAGATGTGTACACAAAGTATATGCTTAGGCCTACCAGTTGTTGGACTTCCAGGCTTGTGGAAGGCACAGTGAACAAGTCAGATCGCTAACTTTGTGTGCTGGTGATACGGGTCCAGACACAGAAAGTGTGGTTTTGAATCAGAAATGGAACTCGACCCCTAAAGTACTAGAATTTGTACTTTACAAAGAAAGTGTAATCCCAGTTGTATCATGTGTTAAACAGTGACAGGGTTCCAAAACATGGTTCACAGGAAAGTTGCATCAGAAACTCATTTGTGTGGGAAAATCAAAGGAATGTATGTTATGTTATGTCTTTGTCATTACCCTCCATGTTTGTATTATTGCACATTGTTGCAGCAGACAAATGAGTTTCACACATAACATTGTGATTATCATGTGTTGGTTAAAGTTTCGATCTTTGTGCTCCTGTTATGATTTACATGAGTAGATTGTTGCAGATATGGTCCAAACCACTTAAGGATCGGACATAATCCTGATCAGTGCTGTGTAATGTATAATGTAATTTCAGAAATTATCAACCAATTATGATGACATCAGCTCGGATGAAGAGGACTCTGGTCCGATGTTCAAATGTCAGGTGGATTGCTGTGGATTCAAGGGAAGACGACAAAAATTCCATCACCACTGGAAGGAAATCCATTCCAGTTTTGGCAAATTGTTCATTTGCCCAGTATGTGACACTGGCTGTGCAGACCGCTGTGCGATGAGATCTCACTTGATGCAGGGGCATGGTGTCACCAATGAGGGTGGAACCTTGGATAATGTCCTAAGAAATGTTAAGATGGAGTTGAGGCGAAATCCGTTTTATGTCAACCCTGGTTGTAGTGAGAAAGAAGCAATGGTGGAGATTGGCAACAGTAAGATTAGGTCTGCACAAAAAAGTCACAAAACCGTGAAAGTGTACAAGTGTCCTGAAACGGGATGTGTGTTTGCTGCATTGGCGAATTCTTTCATACGACATTGGAACTGTAATCATCTGGAGTCGAGCAGTGTCCTGACATGCCCTGTTTGCTCAGTTCATTTTGTCGAGAAAGCAAAACTGATTGCACATTTCAGGATTGAGCATAAAATTCATCCCTACGATGATGTGATTGGAAGTGAAGTTGCTGGTGCTGAGAAAATCAGGTCTGATGAAGATGAGGAAGAATTCAAAATGCTATCTGGCAAATATATTTGCAGAGTAGCAGCATGTGATTTCCATGGTCCAAAATCGGCTTTCCGGCGTCATTGGGAGGAAAGACATGTATTGAATCAAACTTACTTTAGATGTCCATACTGTAGCGTTGGATGCAGGAATCAGCCACAGATTAGATACCATATGGTTAAGGTACACAAGGTGCAAATTACCGACCCAATTTTAGATGATGCCTTGACCAGAACTTTCGCAAAAGAAAGACGTAATCCCAATTTCTTGGACCCAGGTAATGTTGAACGTGAAGCAAAGATTGAAATTTGTGTCCGAAAACCACCTCTATCTTTTGATCAGAAGAAAACATCGAGGTCTAAAAGTGCAGCTGAAAATTTAAGAGAGAAAAAATCTAGTAAGAAGACCACTTTGAAAACCACCAAAGAAGCAGTGTCATTTGTCAATAACCCTCCAGACTATTTGCTGATGAAGTACAATGGACAGAAGGCAGATAGCATCAAGACATTCCTGGCATGGACAGACAGCCTGATGGAGAATCTAGAGATGGCTCATCAGAAAGCTCAGAAAAAGCTGCAAGAGTATGACGAGAAGAACAGTAAGCATAAAAAGTGTGAGGAGAACAGCAAGCTGCATGACCTTAAAGAAAATAACAGCAAGTTGGAGGAGCCTGATGACAATAGCCAACTGAAGGAGCTTGAGAACAGCAACCTACAGGAGCTGGAGAAGAAGGGTGATTTGCAGGAGGTTGCAGAGAACATTACACTGAAGAAGCATGAAGAGGAGAACATTGAGATGTTGGACCTTGAGAACATCAAGCTGCAGGAGCTTGCGGAGAACAGTGAGATCCAGGAACTTGATGAGGACAATAGCAAGCTCCAAGATCTTGAGAACAGTGAGCTCCAAAACATGGAGGACAACAGTGAGCTTGAGGAGAACACTGAGTTGCAGGAGGTTGATGAGGAGAACAGTGAGCTGCAGGAGGTTGATGAGGAGAACAGTGAGCTGCAGGAGGTTGATGAGGAGAACAGTGAGCTGCAGGAGGTTGATGAGGAGAACAGTGAGCTGCAGGAGGTTGATGAGGAGAACAGTGAGCTGCAGGAGGAGGAGGTTGATGAGGAGAACAGTGAGCTGCAGGAGGTTGATGAGGAGAACAGTGAGCTGCAGGAGGTTGATGAGGAGAACAGTGAGCTGCAGGAGGTTGATGAGGAGAACAGTGAGCTGCAGGAGGTTGATGAGGAGAACAGTGAGCTGCAGGAGGAGGTGAGTTGCAGGAGGTTGAGGAGAACAGTGAGTGAGCTGCAGGAGGTTGATGAGAACAGTGAGCTGCAGGAGGTTGATGAGGAGAACAGTGAGTTGCAGGAGGTTGATGAGGAGAACAGTGAGCTGCAGGAGGTTGATGAGGAGAACAGTGAGCTGCAGGAGGTTGATGAGGAGAACAGTGAGCTGCAGGAGGTTGATGAGGAGAACAGTGAGCTGCAGGAGGTTGAGGAGGAGAACAGTGAGCTGCAGGAGGAGGTTGATGAGGAGAACAGTGAGCTGCAGGAGGTTGATGAGAGCTGCAGGAGGTTGATGTGAGCTGCAGGAGGCTGCAGGAGCTTGAGGAGAACAGTGAGTTGCAGGAGCTGCAGGAGGTTGATGAGAGAACAGTGAGCTGCAGGAGGTTGATGAGGGAGAACAGTGAGCTGCAGGAGGTTGAGGAGAACAGTGAGCTGCAGAACAGTGAGCTGCAGGAGGCTGATGAGTTGCAGGAGGTTGATGAGGAGAACAGTGAGCTGCAGGAGGTTGATGAGGAGAACAGTGAGCTGCAGGAGGTTGATGAGAACAGTGAGCTGCAGGAGGTTGAGGAGAACAGTGAGTTGCAGGAGGTTGATGAGGAGAACAGTGAGCTGCAGGAGGTTGATGAGGAGAACAGTGAGCTGCAGGAGGTTGATGAGAAGGAGTGAGCAGTGAGCTGCAGGAGGTTGATGAGAACAGTGAGCTGCAGGAGGTTGATGAGGAGAACAGTGAGCTGCAGGAGGTTGAGAGCTGCAGGAGGTTGATGAGGAGAACAGTGAGATCCAAGAGCTTGATGAGGAGAACAGTGAGCTCCAAGAGCTTGAGAACTGCGAGATGCAGGACCTTGAGGAGAACAGTGAGCTCCAAGACCTTGATGAGAACAGCGAGCTGCAGGAACTTGAGGACAACAGTGAGCTGCAGGTGCTTGATGAGGATAACAGCGAGCTGCAGGATCTTGAGGAGAACAGTGAGTTGCAAGAGCTTGAGGAGAACAGTGAGCTCCAAGAGCTTGAGGAGGAAAACTGTGAGATGCAGGAGCATGAGGGAAACAGTGAGCTCCAAGAGCTTGATGAGGAGAACAGCAGTTAGAAGAAAGATGCTTATTGGAAGAAGTTACATTGGAACAGTTTTCTTGGAAACCAAGCAGGGTTCATGTGTGGGGACAGTATTGTGTTTGAACAGTCATGCATTTGGAGTCTGTACATATTAATTTCAAGGAAGAGTGAGGTCAAGAAACATTATTGTGTTGGTTGTGTCATTGACTGACATTTGAAGTTTGTGAGTGGTTCGCGTTTGTTGTCTTTTATCCTTATCATTTAAAGATAGGCCAGAGGAATGTACATTATGGCCCTGATGTTAGAGAAGACATATTATGTTTACTGTGGAACCATACCGTTATGACGTGGGTGTTTATGTATAGTAAGTGCACATGTGTACAGACATTCTTGAGTTGTATATCAATGTCATGCACAGGAACATTGTGCAGTGAAGTTTGTCATTGGCATCGTCAGGAAATAAAGATGAGGTCTTGAAGTTGTCAGATGGTGTAGTATGAACATTTCTAACTCAGAGATGAAGATGGGGAAAAGTGCCTCAAGTGTTTTCCTTGTGCTGGTTTGTCCATGCAAGATGGTGTTGAAGATGTAGGTGCCAAATGTTCATATGGAGGTTGTTCCTTCATTTTAGACCACCAGACATAAACTGTGTTACTTTTTATGTGAGATTGGGTCTTTTATTTTGAAAAGATCCAACAGCTCTGTGCTGGGTTCCCTTTTATGTCAATATTTGGAGATCTTCAGAGACTCGTCTGTCAACGTTTGAATGATTCTTGGAACCTGTCAAGTGTGTCAATCTTTGGAGATTATTGGAGCCAAGTTGAAACTGTCACTCTTGGAAGATTCTTGGAGTCTTGTCATGTATGTCTGTCATTGAAGATTCATGGAGCCTCGTCTCACATGTCACTAATGATTCTTGGAGCCTGGTCGTGTTTGTATACGGTTCGTGGATCCCCGTCCTGTGGAAGTCTTCACGTATGATCTGTTTTCAATGATTCTTGGTTATATTGGATACAGACAGGAAGAGCCAGAAGAGTGGAGGACAAAGTACGAGTCATAACAGAAATACGTCTGGAAAAACGTCTCTCGCTCGGACAATACAGATTTTCACACTCGTTTCGTGTAAGTCGTATGACACACTTGCTCATGTAATGATCTCTATTTATAGCATGTACCAAGTGGGTCTTTGAATTCTATACCCATTCACAGTTGAAATAATATTATGTCAGTTTGAAGACACAGAATTCTGTAAGATGACTTGCGTTGTCAGACGTAACTTTTGTTACATTATAATTTTCAACGGACCAATAAGAAGTCAACCATCTCCGTTACACCAAACTGGGGTCAGATGAAGGGGTACAACAAACGAACTGGTGATGTACACATAAAAAGATTGGCAGCTGTATTCTTCCCAGGCGTGTTTGCAAATGAAATTATTTTATACCTCAAATGGTTCCCACATATTATTTAGCTCATGTGTTTCAAGTTTAAGAAAAGAAGAAACGAAAAAAGTTTGAGAAGCAATTTCAGAGTGGGTGTTACAAGGTGGCGTTCGTAAGGTTTCCTGTTTTGTCACAGGTAGACTTTGTAAGTAGATTTATGAAACTCGCTGTTACATTAGCAACGTAAGTATATTTACCAGTGCTGAAAATTAAGCCTTCTAATACAATACTCCTTGGAAATACATGTACATTGATTACTGTAGGTTAAGTTTTTGGCTTTCCTTGTGCAACGCGTGACACAACAACACCAGTTTCATTATCACTGCACTGTAAAAAAATTACCGTGATGTTGTTACCGTATAATGCCTGGAAGCAAAACCACACTGAAAACACCATACATTACTCAAATGATAACTGTTGACAATCATCATGTAAAGGTTTTCTGGAAAGTTCTGAAGAAAAAGTTGATTTCTTACTAAATGGTGGCTTCCCCTGACACGATTCAAATGGACACAACATTTTCATTATTTGTGCCTTTTCAAATGAGCAACTAAACTTGGGAAATTGACAATCCAAAATTATGCATTTTAAAATCAAATCTTTTGGCTCAGCTGAACGACTATTAGTTGCACCATGGACATCTAGATCAACCACCATCGGCCTTTGGTAATGTGATCTTATTACATGTGACTTAAAGGCTGAATACTTGATAAACAAGGTTTCGCAAGTTTGAAAACAACAGCGATATAACACATTTGGGATATTGCGATGAAATCTGTAATGAGAAACATATCTCAAAGGACTATCGCAACTGAAGACTGAAGTTGCAAAGATCACAGCAATACGTAGCCATAGGCCGTACACGTGCAAGTGCGATACACAGAAATGTAGCTAATGTAAACAGGTAACTGTATATCAGCATGAATCTAGACCTTTTTTGAGCAACAAAACACCTAAATTTCTTACAAAATACACACGTTTTAAGTACCACACAGCGCCTTATTCGGTACAAAACATTTCTTACAACGGAGAGATGTTTCGGAAAATGGCGCCGATACTACTGTAATGCCCGGATCATATTCCATAATACACTAAATTAACCGGACAGTACCGTATGTGGTGGTTTATTGATGGTAACGCACCGTGCTCGAGAGCAACTGTAACAAACCGTATAGATGTAATTTTAACGGTACTATTTTACAGTGTGGATTGTCTGGTCCAGACTGGATTGTTTACAAATGACATACAGCTGTAATGCTGCTGAACCAAACACATACGATATAGTCACAATTGTAGAATGGACCCTGCGTTTAGCAGAGATTTCTTTGGGACGCAGAAAGGGTTTTGTCGCATCTAAGGTACTGAATAGGGTAACAATGCTGTCACAGATGACACTTTGTGATATATTCAGTGCAGTAGAGGGGGGCGGTGGGGTAGCCTAGTGGTTAAAGCGTTCGCTCGTCATGCCGAAAACCCGGGTTCGGTTCCCCACATGGGTACGATGAATGAAGCCCTTTCTGGTGTCACTCAGGGTCGATGGGGTCGCCTAGTGCTTAAAGCATTTGCTCGTCACGCCGAAGACCCGGGTTCGATTCCCCACATCGGTACAATGTGTGAGGCCCATTTCTGGTGTCCCCCGCCATGATATTGCTGGAATATTGCTAAAAGCGGCGTAAATCTAAACTCACTCACACACTCACTCAGTGCAGTAGAATCGATTTAATATTTGATATCTGCATATCGGATATCAGGGAAATAAATATATATCAAGACATAAAGCACGCCAAGTGAAAAGGATGCAGTGTTGCCATTCCATTTCGGTTGTGTCATTTTTCATGTGGATTTGGAACCACGCAAATCAAAATTACTTCACTAATGGCGATATATTTTTGTGTGTGGAAATCATTTGAGGTATAAGCCAGTTATAAATGTGTGATGAAGAGAACATATCTGAATGTTATCAACTACACATCATTAGGAAGTGGAACGTGAGAAATCAAATCAGTATATTTAATGTTGAAGATAAAAATTGAAGCTGTGCGGACCCGCTTCAGAAAACCACACCAGTGCTGAAACGAATGTAACATTTTAACTTTGACTTACAAGAATTGCTACACGTGACGATACCGATTAGAATTGGTCTTCAGCAACCCATTCTTGTTGTCAGAGGCGACTGACGGGATTGGGTGATGATTCAGTCATGTCATCATATCCTAATTACGTAGATCGATGCTGATACTGTTGATCATTGGATTGTCTGGTCCAGACTCAATTATTTACAACCGCCGCCACATTGCTGAAATATTGCTGAGCGCGACGTTACACAACAATCCAGCAATTGCTGAGGTGAGATCGCTTTGTGGAACGTGGTTCAGACATGGCCATGAGGTACTTGCTGAATGTAACCATTATAACGTAAATTGTTTGACATGTATATTTTAGATCTTTTGCATGTTACGAATCATTCGCAGTTATTACATATTAAGTTTTAGAGGACGGTGGGGTAGCCTAGTGGGTAAAGCGTTCGCTCGTCACGCCGAAGGCCCGGGTTCGATTCCCCATATGGGTAAAATGTGTGAAGCCCATTTCTGGTGTCCCCCGCCGTGATATTGCTGGATATATTGCTAAAAGCGGAGTAAAATCAAACTCACTCACTCACTCACTCACTCACATATTAAGTTTTGAGTACATACGACGAATACTCATTGAATTTGTGCTACAGTAATTGTGGTAGTCTTACAGTAATGTATTCTATGACTGCTGGAATAGTTTACCATGATTGTTCGCTCATTGTTGAATTATATGTTTTGTTGTGCAATTTTAATGTTAATATCAGATTCGAGGCAATTTTCCGCGATCAGTGGTTTAAATTGACAAATGTTTGTATTGTATGTTGTGGTGGCTTGTTGACATCCAGGAGGAGAAGTCTGGATCTGAATTTGTTTGGGTAATTACAGTAAAACCATGATTAACCAAAATATATTAGCACTTTCAGTAGATTGTGGTTATTTGGTCCCGTTTTCACTGTCGTTGGAATCCTATTAGATATTCCACGTGGGCCTTGATTGTTATATCCATTTTGTGGAATGTGGGGAAACAGTAATTTAAAACCTAGCCGTCACCCCTGCCTCCATATTTGGGAAATCATAACCCCTTGCTCTAAGTACTAAAATCATTTCTGTTTGGCAAGGGTTTGCAAAATTAGAAGCAGAAGCTACAGGCAGTAATATTCCCAAGACTAGATCCGCATTCATATCCACGTCCTTAGAGAGCACTTGGGGGTCGAACAGTGTGGGTGTGTGATTTGGCAAAAAGTGTTGGTAGTGCAGTACTTTCTCCCTCAGGTTCACAGGCCACTGTAACTGAAATGTTTGCAGACATTGTAATACCATTCCTTCTATCCATGTACATTGAAACCTGTCTAAACCGGCATCCCACGGGACCCAAATAAAATGCCGGTTTAGACAGGATGCCGGATTAGACAGACGTTCATTGTCCAACATGGCTGCCATTTACACTTGTCAAACTCTTTTTCTGTATAATGCCTTTGATCTTCTGTAATTGTGCAACAAATTAAAACAATGTTGATTACAGATAATTATTCTTTATTCAGTACTAAACATTGTTCAAATATCCAGTACAAATCAACAATTTGGCAAGAAATAGTCAAGACATTTTCAGTTGGCTTGACGCCCCTCACTGGTTTTTTCAAGTGCGATGTTTTCAGCAACTGCTTCAAGGTCTTGTAGGTAGGGGAGGAGCCTTGCTTCTTGAGTTGCTGCAAAATGCTTCATCTGAGTACACATCGTGAGAAAGTCTTATCAATAACGTTGGTTGCTCGACACTAGTTGAGTTGTTGTCATCTGTACATAGATGTATATATGTGATGAATGCAGATGTGTGGACAAACTGTTTTTAGAATGTATCGACATCATTGTTGATATTGTTCATATTTTATTGTAACGTTGTACATATCATAAACACATGTTTGTTTCTTGCCTCTCAGTTGATGCCTTGTTCAACGAGTTCTTGTATATATTTATGGTGAGAACTGACGTTCAGCAACCATGAGAGGTGACTAACGGGATCGGGTGGTCAGGCCCGCTGACTTGGTTGACAATGTCATCATATCCCAATTGTGTAGATCGATGCTCATGCTGTCACTCACCTGATTGTCTGGTCCAGACTCGATTATTTACAGACCGCCATCATATAGTTGGAATATTGCTGAGTGCGGCGTTAAACATCAAACCAACATGGTTTCTTCACAGACTCATCAATAGGTAATGGCATTATTAGATCATATACATGTACCTCCAAGACATCATTGTCGATCTTTCGATGAGGAGGGTCTGGGATGTTATAGCATTTGACGGAAGTTACACCAGATATTGACATTTATTGCACGGTTATCTATACGGATACTAAGGTAATTTCTTGAGGATTGTATCCCTGAATCTTGAAGAAATGCACATATTAACGTCACGACCATAGTCATCAGTACTCCAAAGTGTGACGATGTATTGCCATGTTTGCTTTTCAGAATAAACTACAATTGTTCGTTCTTTTTGCGTGTAGAGTTGTCATTTAATTATTCCTTGAGGATCATTTTATCCTGAGAGGAAGTTAAACTGAGGTTTGGATAAATTTCCTCGTTGTGGTTAACGGTAACATATTGACCCTGAAAAAACGTGGTGTTGTGATTCGTCCCTTGCATTTAAACTGGCTATTCCACGTGGTCTAGTGGATAGCGTATTTTCCCGAGGGCATAAGGTCCTTGTATCGGTCCCGTA